GGGGGGGGTCGAAACGATCGCAAAGGCGGTATACTACGTATACGCGCCAAAAAAAAAAAAAAATCCATTTTCTCAAGTAATAAGTCCCGCTCATGTACATGACTCTTCTGGCTGACCGGTGCGGTGCTCAATGGGTTTTGAAATTGTGTTTAAAAAGCCATAGTGATCAACGCATGCACTCCATAAAAAAAATGATCTGTGATATCTTACCCCATTGCCAAGGTGGTGGCTCAGTTGTGGTGACATTGAGCACAGGATAGTTGGTGCACATGGTCATCAAAAACATCTCGATTAGCGGGCTGCTCGTCATTTTGAGTTCGGTGCTTTCGTCTTTCTATTGAATAAACTTATCGCCGCGATTAGGAGAAGTGTAGAACCGAGGCCGATTTGCAGAGATACGATTAGAAGTTAATTCTAATCATGGTTCTACGTTACATTAAAAAAAAAATTGTTTTAGTAAAAATTGAATCCCAGACTGCTTTTAAAAATTTTTACAGCAGACTTGGTCCAATTTTGGGGTGATTTCACACCGATATAATGCCGATATAATCTCCAGTTTATGCCTATAAAAAGAATGTTAATGGTTACTAGATTCCTAGTAACGTATGATCCACAAGAGCTTTAGCGGCAATATTTGTGTCTGCCCGCGATGAACACAATCAGGAATCGAATGCTGGCTACGGTATCTCTTGGAGATCTTCTATGATCAGGAATATAGTAGCCAAAAACACTATTTTTCTTTGCGTAACATAAGACGTAAAATTTACCAATTAAAAAATTGTGAAAAATGCGTAAAAAATAAAGTCAAATCAAACGAAAAGAAAACAGATCTATTCAGTTTTCACAAATAGAAATATGTAAAAAAATTCAGTTTACTTTCAATTTTTTCCTCCATCAAAAATAACAAATTTTTTGAGTCTGAAACACTGAGAATTTCCGCCTTTTTTCACGTAAGACAGCAAATTACGGTTGATTCACCCCGATAAATTTTTTAAAAGCCACAATTAAATTTAGCAATAGCTGATGTGGACTGGTTCCTTTCGGCTTAATGCTCCTTCTGCGATCCACTTAAAGCCACCAAGGAGCTGGGATCGTTGTACTACTTAAAAATTTTAGTGTCTCAGCGCAACTTTAGCGTAACGAACACACTAGAAAACTCAGTTAGCCTTCAGTTCAGTGGCTATGCAACTTGAGTTACCCAGGAGTTAAAATATTCGTACCATTTAGTTTCTTATCTCAGTTTTCTGGTCGGTATGGTTTCGTATTTTGCCCAAAATTAAAAGCAAGACACAATTTTTTGTTCTAAAAAGCGCAGCTCATAAAATAATTCTTTAAGAAATGTTAGAATTGTTGATTTTTATTTACTAGTTCGAAAGTACTAATATTTTGGACCTTAAGTTGTAGTTTTTAAAATATGCATTGGGGTCAATCAACCGCAATTTTCTATCTTGGTGCCTTTTTGCAAAATGCAATCTAATACGAAAACTATTTTTCAAAAGCTCTATATTAAAATCCAAAATCCAATAAACTCACCTTAGGATTCGAACAGGAAAAAAGGAGATCAAGCACAAAAACAAAATAACTCGCTCCCGAGTTAAGTTCAACACCGGGAATAGGATTCGAGCTCCCGAGCCGGAAGACTGCGATGGGGTCAGGGGTCACCGATTACGACACAATTTTCCGACAGCGATTACCCTTGATGCACGAGAACGAATAAAGAGAATCCAAAATAAATTTGCTCAACACTGAACTTGGGCCTGGCGTGACCTAAGCGCTACAGCCGCGGTAAACAAAAGGATCAGCCCATCGGCGCACAGTGTATCGAGTCGGTGCTAAGGAAAAACGCCGTATGAACATTCGAGAGTTGCCGAAATGCCCCCGATAAACTGCTAATTTTTGAGAAAAATTATGAATATTTTTCCTTGAAATTTTCAGACACTTTACATCAAGGTACTAACAAAATTATCTGAGAAATTGGCAGAAAAATATTCAAAAAATTTCCCGAAAATTAGTGATTTGTCGGTGGAAAGGCAACGCCTGAAGGTTGATACGGCGTTCTTCTTTAGCACGGCAGAATGGAAGAGGTCGGACACGAGTTGAAAACTTCTAAAGGGTATATCGGCGTTTCCCGCACGAAAGAGCGTAACTCCGTTCCAATGTTGCAAAATTGACCCAAACAATCGATTTATTTTACAAAAATATATCTGTGCAATATTTAGTCAAAGTTTTCTGATTTTTGCGTGAACTCTGGGGAGAAATCGGTGAGATTTTCAGTTAGAAATGCCCAAGATTTGTCGGGTTGATAAGCTTTTTACGAAAGGAAGTTTGGCGGCATTGAAATAGAGTTACGTTCTTCCGTATTGAAAACGAAGATATCTTCATTGATGAATTGTTGATGTTTTAAAGGTAGTTTCATTGGTTTCCTCGCACAATTTTTTTTATAAAAAGCACCCATTCGAATTAAAATTTTGACGTAAATTTTTACAATTTTTGTCGCAAATGTCACATCCGACTTCTTTCAAAGCCACGTTCCACTGTGCGGTGTTCGCGTTGGCGTCGGTCACTCTCCATCCGAAGAGTTGGAGGAGCCAAGAGCGTGCCCGATCGATCTGGCTGAAGACTGGCGGCTCCGCGGAAAATTGGGGCGAAAGACTCGAGATCCGAGTGTTTTGCCACCGGTGACACAGAAAAATGAAATTGGCCGTCGCTCCTGCCGGAAGAGTCTCGCGGTGAACCCACGCGGGGAAACGTACCCCTCGTTTCCTGTTTCCGAGGTTTTGTACGGGGAAACTTCTCCACCCCTAAAAAAGTTTCTCCACCCCTAAAAAAGTTGCTCCGCACCCCTAAGAAATTTTCTCCACCCCTAAGAAAATTTCTCCACTCCTAAGAAAATTTCTCCATCTTTAAAGAGTTCTTCGAACCCTAAAAAAGTTGCTCTACCTCTAAGAAAATTTCTCTACCCCTAAAAAAGTCTTCGCGTTCCTATACGTATCCTGCGCCATCCGTCGGGAATTCGTTTCGTTCCCAAGAGAAATCACTTCTCCCCCCCTCCCTGAAAATAAGTTTTTGTACAAACGGCGTTTCATAAGAAACAGGGGTGGTAGATTCGCCGGTGGAAATGAGAATTTGCCAACATTTTTTTTTTCATCTGAGAGAGCCTGAAGAACAGATTTCGCAGTACCTTCATAATTTTGAATTCTTCGCAATCTGTACCAAAGCTGACACAAAATTTGTGTTGGTTTGTGTATCACTTCTTACATATTGAACAAAAGTAACACAAGAACACAAATATTTTTACCAATGTAGGTTCGCTGGTGAAAATTGAGAATTTGCATGCAATTTATTTATCGTATTAACTAAGAGTGCTTGAAGAGCAGATTTCGTGGTATTTTTTGTATTTTTTTCTCTGACATGGGAAATTTTAGAAAAATAGATTTAAAAGTAAAGAAATGCAACGGGTAGAGACGTCATCTGGCGGTATTCTCCATCTAAACACATCGACGGTGCTACCAAACCACCTATCTCGTTTGCGGTGTGTAATAATTTACTTTTTGAAAAGATAACGAATAAACGTCATTCTTTGAAGTTCTCACAGAATTTTCCTCGCACGGGGAAGAAAAATCATGAACTTTTGAAGAGCAGGTGACGCTGAATAGTTTTTCATCTAAATAATAAAGAATAGAAAGTTCACAACTTCGCAATCCGAGATACGTGGTTTGGGAGTTTCGCCGTCGAGATGTTGTATTCTTGGAGATTAGATAATTTTGTCATATCTCCTCCAATAATTGTTCAATTTATGAACAGAGGGTATCCTCGTATTCAAGTCACTCAGTGGAGGTTTTCGCGCAAGCACGAAATTCGTCTCATTTCATGACACCTGCAGATTCTCCATCGAGGCGTTGAACGCAGAAAGGGCATTTCTCGGTTGCGTTGCACAGTGGATCGAGTCAATAGGAGAAGTCGGACAAAATTTGGAAAAACTTTGTATACGCAAATTTTTGAGGTTCTATAAGTGATTTCATTGGTTTCCTCGTGAAATTTCCTGCTAGGAGTTCCTTCTAAAATTTCTAATGTGACTAAAGAAACATCGAAATTTGCAGTTTTAGTCAGAAATTTCATGTTCGACCTCTTTAATGAATTCAATCCACTGTGCCGTGTCTTAGAATCTCCACTTCTAATTTATTTTTTATAGAGAAAGCCATTCAGTGAATTTTTTTTAAAATTTTCCGATTTCAGCGTTGAAAAATTGTAAAGAGTATTCTATAAAAGTTTTTATGCTTAAATTATAATGTATGAAATGTTTGCAAAGATTCTTGGACACCGCAATTAAGGAATGCCCTTTCTACACACAGCGCTTCGATTACAACGATTAACCGTGCCATGCGTGCAATGCGTGAAACATGAAACACTCCTGCAGTCTTGTAGCTGCTAATCTGCGTTTCTCGCCAACTATCGGACAGGACTGCGTTTTGCGCAATGCGAGAAGTATTCATACAGTCTGGTAGGCGCTAATATACGCGTCGATCCGACCGCACTGTTTGGCGCAATGCGTGAAGTATCCCTACAGTCTTGCAGGCGCTAATACGTGAAACGCTGGCCGCACTGTGTTTCAACGCCGTGTGATCTTTCCAACGTTGCCTCGTCTCTCCCGATAAAATATTTTTTCAAAGAAAAGTTAGGAAATTTCTCTATGTGCGCTTATTTAGGACGAGTGGGCCATTAAAAAAGATACAAATTTGAACACTCTGAGTCCGCAACCACGTTTCTCGGTTTGCGACGTTGCAGACTTCCTGTCATACTTTATTTTTCAAATGGAAAACTACTTAATGGGGATTCTTGAAAATCTCATTTATTCTTCTTTTCACTGGAAAAAAAAACACATTGGATCTAGAGTCCAGTCTCTTAAAAACATCGACAAGAAAAAATACTCTTGATTCAATCGGATTTTTGCTTGAATCAAGAACCAAGCCTCTTATTTTGAGCGGATTTCCTTTTGATTTAGGCAAAAATCTGATTGAATCAAGAGCATTTTTTCTTGTCAATGTTTTCAAGAGTCTGGACTCTAGATCCAATGTGTTTTTTTCCCAGTGTTGTATAGGCGAGCAACATTCTACGAAACTTCAAGGAATTATGTTGATTTATCCCCTTTTACAAAATGAAATAAGAGCTGATATTTTGTAAGCACCGCAAACGAGATACATGGTTACGGACTTACACCGTCGATTTGTTTTAAATATAATGGATGAAACGTTAGCGGAGCCGCTTTTGAGACACCGCAACCAACAAATGCCCTTTCTGCACCCAGCGCTTCAACAATGGCGGGGCGTGAATGATCGATTATCGATATTTCTCCATTTGAGGCTGTGGTAAACAATCGATTATTAAGGTGTGCGCTGCGAGCACCCTGTTTATCGATCCTTTTCCATAGGTTTCAATGGTAGATCAATCGATACATTGCAAAACACGCCACGCCACTGCGCTCTAATTCTTCTTAATTGCGCAACTACGTGATTGCGATGAAATTGAGAATTCGCACGTGTCCGAAATTTGACGATTTTTTTTTAGAACTGAACAAGAGAATAATGTCGGTTTCAAAATTGAACAATCATTGGAGGAGTTACGACAGACCGACCTAAATGTATCCAAATGTGAAATTCTGCCTTTAAATTAACGCCTTGGAGGGCAAGGTGCATGAGTGCAGTTTTTGCTATGTCGAGAAATACGTGTTCGAAGTTTCGTCATTACACGGGTTCTTATGGCGGACAGAAAGTTCAAACTGCCTTTTTGATGTAATAGGTCATAACCTCAAACAAACATTTTAGGATTTAAGGTGATTTGATGGACCCTATATTTTGTGTCAGAATGACATGCGATATATCGCATCAATTGTTTCCATCTTTTCAGCTGCTCGTCATTTTTTCGAATTTTGAGATCACAATTCTGTTGTTAGGAGACTAAAGAATTCACTTGCCAATTTTGACAAACAAATTTAACATAATGAAGGCGTGGTTTTTTTAGAGAAAAAATATCGTTTTCGATACTGATATCGAAACTGCACTCGAATGCGATATTTTCTCTCGAAAAAAAACCACGCCTATATTACGTTGAATTCGTTTGTCAAAATGGGTAGGTGAATTCATTAGCCTCTTGACGATAGAATTGCAATCTCAAAATTCGAGGAAAATGACGAGTAGCTGCGAAAATAGAACCAATTGATCCGATATATGGACCACGTTAAACAGAAAGGAACCAAGCCACATCAGCTATTGCCAAATTGAATTGGGCTTTTTAATTTTTTACCTGAAAACGGTTGTGCGGATTTTTCTGCAAATTTTAGTGAATTTTCTGAGAAGTACGAAGCAAATTCCTCAAAAATGTCAAAACAATCCGCAAAATCGTTCTTTTGTAAAAAATTAAATTGCTCTATTAAATTTGGCAATAACTGATGTGGCTTGGTTCCTTTCTGTTTAACGCAATCCATATAACATGTCGTTTTGACACAAGATGTAGTGTCCATCGAATCACATTAAGTAGGAAAAGCTGAAAATTAGAAAATGCCCAACAATTTCGCTTTTTATTTCCATTTTATACTCATAAGAACTGAAAATCTATAACAAGAAACCCGTTCCCTCATACTCAATTGACTTTTGAGGCTATGTTTACATGTTGAACCAATCGATCTCGATACAATCTCACCTATTTGATGTATCGAATACGACCCATTGAAAAAAAGAAACCAAACCTACACCTGCAAGCGTAAGATATTAAATTGCCAATCAAGCGCGCCTTATTCTATCCGCTGCTCCCATTGGCCTGCTCTCAGGCGACCTTGCACGATTAGTAGATCAAGTGAAAGTAAATTTCCGCGATGGGGACCCGATTACGCTCCGACGGAGTCGTTACCATGGCAACGTCACAAACACTCGACAGTGAGTGTTATTTAAACTTACCGAGCGGATTCCGGGCTGCATTAAATTAAGTGCTGCAGGTAAATATTTGCTTGTCTAGCTGTTAACAGGTCGGATTTCAAATCCCGGGCTTGAGTAGCTTGCACGCATTGGATGTTCCGCTCTAATCAGATCTCCGTTAGATCGAAACTGATTAGAGGGATGAAAAAATAGCGGTAGTGCTTACTAGTCTACGTGACGTATGACGTTGAGATGATTCGGAGATCGATGTGTTAGTGTGGCATCGTTCAGCTCTGTGGTTTCGGATGAGGGGCTTGGAGGACAAGATGCATAGATTCAGCTTTTGCTATTTCAAGAAATACGTGTTTGAAGTTTCAGAATTCCTGGAGCCTTATGTCGGACAGAAAGCTCAAACTGACTTTTTGATGCGTAAAACTTGGAATTTGGGAGCGAATTTTTCACAGAATATGCATCGAGACTAGTTTTACTTGAAATCATTGATGTCTCAATTTTTTCAAAAACTGAATTTCCGCGCCTTGTCCTTGGAGCCTTTTAAATTTCGTTTTCGCAGACTTTGCAAACTCTAACTTGTCCTTACAAAACCTCAGAACGTGTGTATTATGTTTCGTTGTTTTCCCGCAAGAAATACCGTAAATAGATTTTATTTAGACCAGAGAACTGTTGAGAATTTTTGACTGAAATTGTTTTGATTCTTTCTCTGGTTATGCGCAAAAATCGGTAGAATTTTTGACAAATTTTGCACGGTCATATTCCTTTAAAAATTTGAATGGTTTGAGTCAATTTTGTAATCTTGAAGTGATTTTAGGTTATTTCATCTGAAATACGACGATTTGAAGGAGACGCAGTCATATACGACTTAATTGAAATGCAACATTTCAATCTATACTTGAAATGCAACATTTCAATCTATACTTGAAATTAAACATTTCAATCTATACTTGAAATGTATTCGTTTGATCAAAAATGGTTGCATTTTTACAATTTTTGTGTACATTTTCTTGGTAGTTCGGAAAATGTTCCCCAGAATATTTTTACGTAAAAAATGCACCCATTAATGAACATACAGGTACATTTTCAGGTATAACGGTAAAATGATAAAATGCAATCGATCCCCTGCTCAGATTCGCTTTATTTCGTTTGATAAGGCTAAAAGTGAAAGGTTTCTATTTTTTAGATAAAAAAAATATCATTCACGAATGTACCCCTGACAAAATAAATTCACTCACGAACTAATTTTAAAGAAGAAGATATTTTCCCTCAATGAAAGATTTCTCTGTTTTTGTTTCAAATAAAAGTTGAGGACTGTCGGTTGATCGCGGGAGACAAGAATGGCCCCTCTTTGCACGCGGGTGATTCCCCAACAAAATGAAGAAGCAGTGATGGAAACCGAGGCCAACTCAGATTCAGATGCGGAAAGCTTATCATCAGACGATGATTCCTTCTATGAAATCCCTGATCAAGTCAACCTTCATCAGCAGTTCTATGCCAACGATGATAGTCTTATCCAGCTCTTGGTAAAATCATTTTCACACCTATACTTTAACTCTGAAACTTGGTTGCATCAATGTTATTAACATGGGTTTTCTATCACTAACAGACTTCCTCCATTCGAAAGTAAGTCTATGGATGTAAATTTTTCATCCCAGAGAGATTTTCATATCTGAGACGCTCCCCAAGTTTTGTTCGTTGCACACGCAAAAAATAGTCGGTGCAGATGACAGAACCCTCAGGGCTCCTGCACTTTCTTTGTTATACTTACAGAACTTTTTTGTTGTGAGAACAGAACTGCGATCGTGAGTACAGAGCGCTCTGTCCTCGATGCGGAAACTTCTGTAGCTGTAACAAAGAAAGTGCAGGAGCTCTATGAACAGAACTATTTTTCTCAGTGCAAGAGTATCTGCTTAAATCAAAAATAGAATTCAATTAAAAATGAATAAATACAACAACTTTATCAACATTCCCATAAATACGGAAATTTATTTTCCTGGTGCAGTGATTATTCATTGTGAGCATATCAACGGTAAAACACTGCACAAATACTTATCTCAAGCACAGGTACAGATGAGGCCTCTTTTTTCCTTTAAAAAAACATTTTTAAATATTCATTCACACAACTATCAGAGAATGTTCTTAATAAAGCAAAAGAAATTCACGCAAAGCGTCGTCATAACAGTGAGCAGACATCGTTTAATCGCTTACTGGCACCAGAGGCACGGGCCGAAGACCAAGGAGCCTTGATGCAACTATTCGTGTTCTTTGGATGTGCGTGTTGCATACGCAATAATTGAAGGCGTTTTCGAATTCCTCGCTTGCAGCAGCGCAGTGTTCCCCACGCTTATGTCATTTTGATCTGAAAAGAGGCAGAAGCCTGAGAGTTTCTACTAATTACACGGAGAAAAAAAACTGGGACCCGAAGTTGAGGTCATATGGATCTCTCAAGTTTTCGGATCACGTATCTAAAAACTTGAGGTCCAGCTGCCGAAGTTCGGGTCAGACATCTGAAGTACTTCGATACATACCGAAGTGCCTCAATGTCTGACCAAACTTCGGCAGCTCGACTTCAAGTTTTCGGATGCATGATCAGAAAACTTCAAAGATCCATATGACTTCAACTTCTGGTCCCATGCACGAAGTTTTTTTCTCCGTGATGATTTAATTATTTTTTTTTTCAGTCAATTTTACGAATTCAGAGAGGATATTAACTATGATTTAATTTTACTTCCAGAAACGAGTATAACTTTCTTAGTTTGTTTTTTTTTCTGCTCAAATAGCAACGGACAACCGGCAAAGAGGAATTGAGCGAGATCACGGAGCTGAAATTGCGGGCCATGTCTGAGGAGATAAGTCTTTCGCGAATCAACGGCCTCGTCCCTAACTTGACCACACTCAACCTCGACGGCAGTAGCTTGACCTCTCTACGGTGAGCGATGTTCCCATTTTTCAAGTAAAATTGTTTAATTTATTGTGTTGATTTGTATAAGAAACCGGTAAACACTGCGTGGAACGGCAACGCTGCATCTTTAATTCCTTCTATTTTATGATAATTTGTTTATTTATTTATTTTTTTTTATTATTATATTTTAAGGTATGCCAAGCGAAAGAGCGGGATCTATTTCTAATTAGCTCTGTCATCTAGTGAAGAGTAGTATTGTATTTTTTGCACGCGTATAAGTGGAACTTGACGCCTAAATACAAATTATACTATTCCTACTTCACGGATGCCCTGATTGCATAAGTATAAAATTGAAGGCGTTTATGTCGCCCTCTCGTTCACAACTAGTGATGATTCTCAGAAGTTTCCGCTAATTGACCTTGTTTACAACATTGCCCCTATGGTCTAAGGGTCATGCCAAATTCTTGTAAAATTAAGAATGCCGTTATTTGTTGAGCTTTGACTGAAATCCACTTCTTTTTCGACAGGGAACTTGGCTGCAGTTTGAATAAACTGAAGGTCCTACGGGTATGCTACTGTGGAATCAGTTCATTGGACGGTATCCTGGGCTTTACTTCCTTGAAAGAGCTTTACGTTTCATACAACCACATTCAGAACATCGGGATGTGCACTTCCTTACCACATCTGGAAATCCTGGATTTAAGGAGGTTTGACATCATATTAATAGTTAAAATATCACATTGAGATTACTAGGTATTTTAAAGGTTGCTCCACGTCCAAAATACCCTAGATTTCTTGCTCCGTCGGCGTAGGAGCAATTCTCGCATGAGCCTCTAAAAGCATGAACTCATATTTAAAACAAGGCTCATGTGGAGATTTAAATACTGCCTTGCAAAGGAAAAACGCCGTATGAACCTTAAGATGTGTCATATTTCCTTTAATAACCAACGAATTTACATGAATACTTCACCCATTGCGCCAAACACAGTGCGGTCAGGAGCGGTTGGCGTGAAATGCATAGCACCTACACCTACAAGACTGCAGGAATACTTCACGCATTGCGCCAAACACAGTGTGATCAACGCGGCGCGGCGCTGCTGCGGAAGTTAAAATTATTAAACCACATTTATGTTTGTTCTTTCATAATTTTTTGGTTCATTTCTTATAAATGGAGGACCTTGTCCACGCAGAGGTAGGTTTACAGAACTTAATTTTCGCGGAAAGTTCCGTGAAATTTTGCTAGTTGTGTTGACAGGGCTTTCGAAAAAAATGTATCCAACACAAATAAGTAAACGCGTCTTATGCACCCCTCCCCTCTGGCACGTTCACATGATGGTTTTTATTGATGTTTCAAAACGAATGAGAAGGGATAGCAAAATACAGGCGGCTCATGGGCGGCAAGTAGGTAAATTCGGCCCTGGATGTCATCCGGCATCAATCAAAAGGGAGCACGGGTTTCTACGCCTTCTGTTAAATCTCTCTACTCCTCGTACATGAAAACAATAAGAAAGTCGAAAATTTATCTGCAGAATCAAAGAATCGAATCTCATTCATGTTACCTGTAGTTGACAAGCAACAATTACACACTGAAATACGATTTATCTTAACAAGCATCAGTAGAAAATGACAGGAAATGGCGACTTGACTGCCGTAACAAATAACTTCCATGAATTTCCCGCCATTCGGCGGGTTTGAAATCTTTTCAAGTGTTTAGGCTTGTTTAAAGCCGGCTAGTCTGGGATTTCGGCTCTAAAAATTCACAATAAATTACTACTTGATCTACTCGCCCGGTACTTTCAGAATATTAAATGAAAAACACAAGGTTTATTGACCCATTTTAGGACATGCCCTGTTATAGATATCCCAATATCTTGTTGTAGAGTGAGATATTTTGTTTGGAGCTACGATCACTTATCCTATCTTTGTTTTCTCAGAAACAACATATGCGCAATTGGGAGCGTGGAATTCCTGAGCACTTGTCCAAAGCTGCGAAATCTCACGCTAGCGGAGAATCAACTCACTTCCACGTCAAACTACAGGAATCAGATCCTGGGGATGATCCCGCAGTTGCGAGTTCTCGATGGCATTCCTTGCGGTGCGTATATCAAAAAGAAACAATAAAATATAAAGTAAAATAAAATAAAAGTCTTGACTCGGAAATGAACTAACAGTGATGGTTATTGAAAGTTACACTAGTGGTACTAGTGAACACTAAATTACAGGTTTTCGGCAGCGAAAGCTTGTTACCCAACATCAAACAAATTGAGGGGTTTGGAGGACAAGGCGCATGAATGCAGTTTTAGAAAAAATTGAGATATTAATGATTTCAAATAAAACTAGTCCCGATGTATACCTATTCTGAGAAAAATTCGCTCCCCAATTCCAATTTTTAAGCATCAAAAGTCAGTGTGAACTTTCTTTCCAACCTAAGGATCCATGCAATTTCGAAATTTTAAACATGTATTAGTCGAAATTGCAAACACTGCACTTATGCGCCTTGTCCTCCAAGTCCCCTGTAACTTCTGCAATTTATCACCTCTAACCGTCAAACACGTAATTATGGACTGCTCTGCCCTTAGATATCTCCAATCAAAGATCTACTCACCTACAATCAACAGAAATACAAATCCACTTACATGCGATGAACCCAATGTCGCTACCAAAATTCTGAAACTCTTCGCCTCTCTTAATTTAAAAATCTAAATTTTCGTATATACACCCATTTTCAAAATTCTCTGTAAAGACGTTAATAGCCTGTGATGCTGAATGTCTTAAAATATATTAACTAACTAACGCAATTAGAAGTGGGAGGAAAAAAATGAAATCATTGTCAGTATGTAAATGAATATAACGCCGGTGAAACTACCCGACCAGGTACCTCGTTTGCGGTGTTTAAAATTATCTGATTCCATTATATTATTTTGAGGAGAATGAATCAATATATCATTTTCATTCCTTGAAAATTTCACAGAGCTTTCTTTGCGCGGAGATGAATAATCACGGAAATTCCGGAAAAAGAATAATCATGGAAATTCCGGGAAAAGAATAGACGCTACCTAAGTAGTTTTCCAATTATAAAATAAAGTTTGACAGGAAGTCTGCGAAGTCGCAAATGTAGGAACGTGCTCTAGTGCTTTCAAATACAATATAGGATGGTCATGTGAAGAATAAAGGCACTCAGACTCAAGTCTCTTTCCGATTGGAGTGACAATTACCAGAAACTTGGAAAAGAGCGCATGAGACGATGCACTGCGCTGCTGTGAACGTGAGGATTTCGAAAACGCCTTCAATTTACGTGCGTATGCAACACGCATATCCACAAAACACGAATAGTTGTATCTTGTGTCCAGGCAGGCGCTCATATACCTTTGATCCTCGTACTCCCGATTTCAATGCGATTATCTCATCTGTCTAACTAAAAGAAAATGATTCGAATGTTGCCAAATTTCTCACAATAAAATACTTCATTTTTAGGAGAATTGTGAATAATTTCCCTTGAGATTTCCGAATAATTTGGATCAAATTGCAAAATAAAAATTCGACGAAAAGTTGAAGGAGATTGTTCAATTGAAATTTTACATGGTCATGAGACAGTTCTTTTGCTGAACGATAACACACCAACTCGGTAACTCGAAAATGCCCAATTTTCATGAAAGATTGTCAACTTTCACAAAATTCATTGAAGTTAGCGCATTTGTTCCAACTTGGACCTCCAAAGTGTCCTCCAGTACATACCTGTCTTTCGGCACCCAAAATCTTTTTTTTTAGACTAACTTCTTTACCCACTTTGCAGTTTTTTGTGTGTCTTGATTATTTTCATTTTTTCGAGTTGGTGTGTTTTCTTTCTCGTTGATTGAAATAACTTTGGAAAAAGAAGGAAAAAAAAGAAGAAAAGAAAAAAAACCTTTGTTTTTCATGTGATGTTTTACATTTTGAATAAATATTTTATCTTATCTTATTTTCAGGAGCACACGGGATTAGGTGCAATGAATTGAACCCGAGTGATTCTGAAACAACCTCCGAGTCAAGCCTATCTGAACATGAACCAACACCGCCGGAGAGTTTGCTTCTTTCTTTTACGCAATCAGCCAACTCAACGTCTGATTCACAGCCTTTGCCAACTATTCCAGGTGCGTATACCCGTCAATTAACAGTGCTGTCATGTTGAGGAAAAACGCCGCATGGGCCCTCACTCCTCAATCATCGCCTAAATTTCTGAAATAAAATACGAATTTTCAAGGAAACTTATATATATTTTTCTCCCAATTTTCAGAGAATTTCACGTACACTTTGGTTTAAAATACTTGAAAATTTCAAGGAAAAATATCCATAGCTTTCCTCAAAAACTACTGCGTTATCAATGGGAATTTGGCAACTTCTAAAGGCTCATATGGCGTTTTTCCACTAACACAATTTTAACTGTCGGAATTCGTTAAAAACATGATTTTCCGTTATATCAGGTGAAATGTGCGAGTTTGTATCACTTTACAAAATGAATAAAACGTTCGTGACCGAAACTGGACATTTTTAGTAAAATTTACCAAATACCAACGGCCCGTAGTTATTTGATGGGATAGGTGAGCTTTCTTTAGCCAACTTAGCTAGTAGTCATCCCATCAAATACCTGCGGCCCGCTGGTATTTGAAGAAAAAGTTTCTGGCCTTGGCCATTTGTACCGCGTTTGGTAAAAAGGAACCAAAGCCACATCAGCTATTGCAAAATTTAACTGGGTAATTGAATTTTTTACAAGAGAGCGTTTGTGCAAATTCCTTGGAATATTCAAAGGAATTTGCCTCGTACTGTGCAAAAAATTCACTGAAATTTGCACAAACATCCGCACATCCGTTTTCATTTGTGAAAACTTAAAGTGCCCGATTACATTCGGTAATAATTGATGTGGTTTTTCCTTTTTACTTGGCGCGGTCCATTTGATGGTTCGATTTGATAGTGCGTCAGTAACTCATATATTGGCACACCCCATATCATAATACACGGAAAAAATAAATTGCTGCTTTAACAATTAAATTGTTAAAAAATACGTCCGACATGTTTCAAATGTACATTTTACAATAAAGGAAAGCTAATGTGACCACGGTGCGTTTAATTAGCATATTTTATTGTAAAATCTACATTGAAACATGTCGAACACTTTTTTTTATCTATATATAAAATTGTGAAATCAGCAATTTCATTTTTTCCCATCCATCTTCAACACATTTATCAAAATGTCCAATACTTAGTACTGCGGTGCTAAGGAAGAACGCCGTATGAACATTCGAGAGTTGCCAAATTTCCCTCAATAAGACATGTATTTTTGACAACATTCATGCACATTTTACCTTAACATTTTCAGATATTTTAGACAAGGCCGGATTTAGGGGGTAGCCACATGGGCCGCGGCTCATGTAGGCAAATATTGCAAATTTTTGAAATGCAGGTGTAAAAAAAATCGGATTTAGAAAAAAATTACAAACGAGAAAAGGCGACGAAATCTCTCATTTCCTGAGAGTAGAGTAATTTCTAATTTTGTCGTCTTTCATGATACAAGAGACAACACCTTTAATTAGTCGAGTTAAGAGAGAAACCAAACACGCAATTTGACCTTGAGCAGAACGGCGCAGAGAGCAATGACGACGAGGACTGATTGTGAGATGAAAAGAAGGAGCCCTCGGCGCGGCGGTCAACATGAAACGCATAGCGCCTACAAGACTGCATGAATACTTCACGCATTGCGTTAAACACAGTGCGGTCAGCGTGAAACGCATAGCGCCTGCAAGACTGCATGAATACTTCACGCATTGCGTCAAACACAGTGCGGTCAGCAGCCGTCGCGTCAGCGTAAAACGCATAGCGCCTACAAGACTGCATGAATACTTCACGCATTGCGTCAAACACAGTGCGGTCAGCAGCCGTCGCGTCAGCGTGAAACGCATAGCGCCTACAAGACTGCATGAATACTTCACGCATTGCGTCAAACACAGTGCGTTCAGTAGCGGTCAGCGTGAAACGCATATAGTGCATACAAGACTGTAGGAATCTTCACGCGCGTGGTCAGCGCAGCGCGGCGGCGGAAGTTGATCATCTATGGCATAGCGTTACGAATTCATAACAACATGTTTTCGGGGTTTTTAAAAATTGAATCTTTTCCGTACACCATGATTTTGCAACATTTCATTAGTTATTTCTTTTTTTGAAAAATTGGTTCCCTTAACTTTAACATTATGAAAAAAAGTTGGTACTCCACTTTTTTTGTGCAAGCAAGAAAATAGATTAGTGACCCCTGGAATCTAAGATCCAAAATTAATTCATGCCATGGAGGGTTAAAATTATTAAACCACATTTAGGTATGCCTGTTCTTTCATAATTTTTTCGTTAATATCTTATAAATGGAAGGCTTTGTCCACACAGAGATAAGTTTACGGAACTTAACTTTCGCGCAAAGCTCCGTGAACTTCTGCTAGTAATGTTGACAGGGCTTTCGCAAAAAAATGTGTTCAACATGAGTGAACACGTCTTATGCACCCCTCCCCCTCCGGCACGTTCCTTTCATGGTTTTTATTGATGTTTCAAAACGAATAAGAAGGGGGCGGCAAAACGCAGGCGGCCCATGGGTGGCAAGCAGGTAAATCCGGCCCTGATTAATTATTTAATTTAATTACGTACGTATTCAATTAAATTGCGTACAAAATTGTCTGAAAATTTTGGAAAATAATATTCACAAATTTTCCGAGTAAATTTGGTTTTTATCGGATGAAACTTAGCAACGTCTGAAGGCTCATACGGCGCTTTTCTTTGTATGCTCACCTAATTGCTCCAAAAAATGTGTTAATGAACCAATTTTGCGGTGTTGCAGACACGGAGACTCGAAACTCGCATGCAAGCTCACTGACATCGGGCGCCGTCTTGTGTGGTAGTATCGCCAAATCGTTGCGGAGCAAACGGTTGGGGAGAGAAGGCGGTGCTGGTCTCAGAATTCTAAGCCCTGTCCATACTCCCGGCTTCGGACCAGTGGTCAAGATGGAAAAATCGGACGCCATGCAAGCCTCTAAGATGTGGAGACGGGAGGCGGCTAAATTGAGACACGAAACCTCATAAAGCTCGCTCATTAACGCGGTCTCTGTGGATTTTCTGCCCGGTCAAGTTTCGTGATTGCTGCCAGATTGTGCTAGAAATTCAGCACATCTCCTCGTCTAACCACGGTTGTCACAGAATTTGAAAAATGAAATTCCCTGACATTTCCCTGATTTGCCGACACACTTTGGTCAAATTTCCTATCAATTGAGGATATGCCAGATGGTTAAAAACATACGTAACCAGAAATATTATTTAGGCAAAATTTGTTTCGAGACGTCAAACCCAATCTAGAAAGCAGATAAAAGTGACTGAATGAGTTTCTCTGACATTTTCGTTCTTCTCCTTGACATTCCAGGTTTTTCTAGACTTTTTAAAATTCGCTGACATTTCTAGGTTTTCCCTGACTGTGGCGACCCTGTTTGACTGAACGTAAAATATCTAGGGGTTTTCACGCAATCTGGCAACTTCGAATTCCGTGGGATACAAAACGACGGCGAAACTGCAAAAAGGCGTATCTCGATTGCGATGTTTCAAAGTCTCCATCACTATTTCATTTTTTCAAAACAGCATGATGGTTGGAAATTTTTCACTGAATACCTACTCCTCGCACAGAAAGAAAAATCATGTTTTTCTTCTTTTCTCTTTGTCCTATATTGTTTTACACCAAAAACAATTTGTCCTCCTCCCGAAAGACAAATTGTCATCGTTTTCGTTCGAAATTCCGTCCGATCCATCAAAATTGTTCACTGAAAATTTTGCTTTTAAACGTCAACAGTACAAGAGAATAATTTATAGTAAATAAGGAGCAAAATGGAAATAATAGTTGAAACAGAATACAAAATCGACATAAAAATGATCCGAATAATAGGCGCATACTATAATCCTTCTAAAACTAATGTATGTATAAATTGAATTGTATATTTATATTTAAATAAAGATACTGAACACTAATAATTTTTAAAAAAAAAAACTGTCGAGAGTAATATTCCAGGAGGGAAGTCGTGATAGGTTCCTTCATGGGCACATTGTAAATTGAGTATAGAGTTCACTGGAATTAAGTTAAGGTGTGAGAGAAACAAGCAAAAGGATCCTCAGTTAGTATCGCATCATGTGATACATTTCAAAATAACGCCTGTAGGCAACTATTCCGGCTCAATGGATGTCCGTGTTGCATATGCACGAAAGTGAAGGCGTTTCGACTCTTCGTGCACTCGCCGCTTCAGAGCTGCGTGGCTATGGTGGGCACTACATGGATTCTTCGTTCATACGACATGGACATATCTTTAGGACGCTTAGTTGCTCTACAAACTATCTCGTCACATCGTAATATCGAAGTACTACAACACACACATCCGCCAATCCACCTTTCCGCAGGGTTGCAGGGGTGAAATGAAAAACATGAAACACTGAAAATTTCCGTGAAATATTTCATGAAATTCCACGAAGTTGTGAAATATATCAAACATATTTTCAGGAGCTGGGTATGCAACACGCACTAGAGAAGCAAAGACCAGTCGTCTTTCATTTAATTTTGCATTTTGTTTCGAAGAATATTTTGTTTTACCTATTTTTCATATTTTTCTGAAATTTTATGAAATATTTCACATGGAATTTCAATATTTTATTTTTCATGAAAAACAGCAACCCTGCCTATCTGTGCCTGAGAGATGTCTTTGTATAGTATAAACGAAGAATTGAAGGCGTTCTGTCTTCTTGGATCCTCACAGTACAGCCCGCGGGTGAAGCATGGTGAGGCGGTAAGCTTTTGAAAGTTTTCGAAACTTCAGCGAATCCACGTTTTTCCAAACGGACTCGTGGAGCTTTAGAAATAAAAAAAATCGACTCTCTAGAAAACTGAAGTCATTTTCCATTTTAGCATTTCTCGTTAAAATCATTACACATTAATCAATATTTTAAAATACCAGAACGAGGTAATAGTTCGTTTTAGCCAGTCCGGTCAAGTACTCCTCACTTCCATTCTGTGCTACTACACTTTTGATCATAATAGTTTTATAAATTAAAAAAATACAGTGGAGACAATCACCACAAAATTGACAAATGATGCAAATTAAGGCGTTTTTTCAGTCTGCAGAAGAATTGAAGGCTGCTAGGAAGTAATCATTTATTTTACATTGTAGCAATGAATGAAAACTCTTTAAGGAAAAAAAAACCTCTACACCTCAGGGATGGAGTTAATATTTCGATAGCCTGGTTTCACTAACATAGGTTCTGACTGATTAGAACTTGGGTATTGGTTGACTTTAATAATGGAATAATTAAAGGAAAATTTCAAGTTTTAAAAATTAGTTTTTTATTGGGTTTCTGTTTATAATACTTAACAGTGGACATAGACAGCATTATAAATAGAAAAAATTTAAAAAAGGAAAAATAGAGAAACCACTTGGAAATTACAAAAATGTGTCCAAGCAGAGATGGATTTAATCTGGCTGTGAGTATCATGACTTTATAATAATTACCCTCAAATTTTTGCCACACAATTTTTAGAATTATTTTGTGGAGCAATCTGGGACAGCAAAAATTCCGATGGAGAGGCAACGCTTGTCAAATTTAGAAACGATACCAAACAAATTTCACACAGGAAAAAATAACAACTGAAATCAAACTTGCCATTGCTGATCGAGATATTATAGAAATTTGGTTTGGAATCATTGCTCATTGCATTGACTTGATCTCCTATTGATGCTAAAATTAATCATCTTCTTGCATCAGAATTTATTTTCAGTAGAAATCTGCATTGAGTTTGTAAATATCTGAGTTTCTTATTTTTAAATTCAATGCTTTCATACTATTAACTAATCGACTAGAAGAGGATTGAACTGATTATTTTCCAATGAGCTCAAATGCTATTTTCACTAATTATATAAAAGCAAACAAAATTACATCTCTCAATCGTGAGAAGTGTTTGCTGTTTAAAAAATACTTTTTTTCTTGAGTTTTGCAAGTTGTAAAAGTGGCCATCATTAAATTCGAAAAATGACAAGTTCAATTTTAAGGTGAAGGAGCTCACTTATTAATTGTATGCTTAAGCTAAATTTGAAATCGTCCATTGTATAGGTCCTTTTAAAACTTGCTCGGAACATATCACCTCCACAGAGTTGTAAGGTACCTAACTCATATTGTTGGAAAAGTGGCGTTTTGGAAATTTCTAACAACGGTTCGATTGGTTAGGAAAATTTGGTAGCAATGATAGCCCTATCTTACACCAGTTATCAGATACAAATTTCAAAAGTTGCGATTTACATTGGAATCAACAGGGCCAATGCACGATTTTTCCCTAATATCTGGAAATGACGAAAATGCAGTTAGGTGCCTTTTGCCTCTATGGTACTGGTATAATTCTGTAAAGCGTACTATGCAAAAATAAAGCGTCTACATAATTTTTATAATTTTTTGGAGAAATTATTACAATAACGAATCACTGGAATTTGTATAGATATTTTGCCCTTGCAAGAGATGCTTGAATAATATGTTGAACAATGCATTTTGAAAGAAATCAATTGGGTCATGTTGTAATAGGAACCAGTTGGATTGAGAAGAGGGTATTGCAAGGTATCCAAAGTAAAATGATCAGCAAGGTAATTAACTGACCAAATTTGAATAAGAGCGATTGATGAGGAATTTGTATGTATGCAGTTGTCGCTTTTAAAGCAGACTAGGGTACTCTGCAACACCTAACAGCCAATGGAATCTGTCAGTGTGGAGATTTTCCAGGAACTGGTGTCTCTTTCTCTCTTTTAAGATGTCACCTGTCCATCTTTCATCTGAACGCCCTCTGTGGCGTCTACTTACTGGGACCTGCTCCAAAACCCCTTTTATACGAATTTGTACTGAGTGAAATATGAAGGTCAAATCCTTCGGAGGACTAAGTTTAAAAATGAGTCCATGCTGGGCAATTCACAGCCACTAGATTCTTATAAGCTGTACTTCCTACCACAAGTTATATAATGACACATTGAATCGTAATTAAAAGGAACTTTGACATGCATTAGATGCTAACATTTTCTTCATTATCTGGTGTAGCAAATATTTATCTTTTCCTCGGATTCAAAGAATTTTCTGGAAATTTCTCCTGGTACTTCACACGATATTTCACATAGTGCATACAACATTACATTATATTAGAGCTGTAATATAATGACTTTTTTACGAAAATAGATACACAAGAAATTTCCATGGATACATTCTTTGAAGAATTCGTTACAAAATTAACACATTCATACTGAGTACCTACTTACAATTATCTAATTCTAAAAACATGTCGCCATGGTAAAGAGAGTCCAGTTGTGAGAGCATTCTGGAGACCAACTTTCTATAAGAAAGCTACAAACCAACAAATCAAGCGCAGCTTAACGTTTCTACTCATTTGTAAGAGCAAGCTAAAATTTTCCTCCTCCTGGGGAACATTGCCGGCTAAGGCAGAATCAAGTTGACATTTTAAAGTATTTTGATAGCAAACACCAACATGTTGTGAAAATACTAATCTCTCTTTAGGCTTGGTAAAAAAACTGATCAAATCATATCTGAGTTGTTGGGTGAGTACATTTTTTTCTCTGTAGAGAGTTTTCAGAAACATTTTCCCCTCAAAAGTACGCAAAAATCTTGCACACAGATTGGTGTGTTCATCGTGACTTTTAAGCCATTTTCCATAAAAAATAACTTTCCTTTCCGCTCTGAAAAAAATTTACAGAATATCCAATACAGAGTCTCTCCACTGGAGATGAGGGTTATCAATAACCAAAGTGCAAGACCTCGCATCTCCACTGCAATGTTTCAGAATTTCTGCTCCTATTTTATTTTTAAAAAGAGAAACAAGTCATTTTCATAGCTTAAAATTTACACAAAATATTCTGCTAACCGTGAAAAAAATTAAGGAGGTTTTCAATAAATTACCTTCACTAGTTTCCCCCCGAAAAAAACTTAAGCATGAAAAGAAGTCTGTTATGTCGCAGACAGAGATACAAGGTTTCGCAATTCGGCCATCAATACGCTTTGTTTGTTTGATCATATCTGCCCTTGAACTGACATCAGCTCTTAACAGCCCTTACTTCGAACATTCATAGCCATTAAATGATTAATTTAAAATCTTAAATTAAGATACAAGAAACATAAATGTCTTACTTATTTTGCTAGACCAAATTTCTTTGCACAATTGCATTGAAATTATTAGTAAAATACAACGAATCTCATACAGATACTTGGAAAATGAACTGGTGCAAACCATGGAGAGAACAAAATGACATACATTATTAAACTCGAAAATAATATCCGAAATTTTCTTAAAGTCTTATAGAATTTTTAAAGATTGGCAAGACATCTCATTTACTCTGATTACCACGATTAATGGTCCACTAGGCAAAGTCTGAAAAATGACACATATTCCCTCTTTAAAATTTTACAAAAAAAAAAAAAAAAAAAATTCACATGATGGGAAGTCTGATTATCAATTCTCGAACAAGATATTCACAGGCATTATAAACACAGATCAAATGACAGTTGAATTACGCAAATTACTTCATTTGTATTTTTACCATATAACCAATGTCGATTGTGTCTGACTTCTTGATATGCAATTTGGTTTTCTCCTGAAATTTTGCATGGTGTTCTGATTCATACCTTATCTAGCAGCCCATTCAAATAGTATTTGCTGCTGCAAAAGCTATTTACAATTCTTCTTTCTTTTTTTCCTCTTCCATTTTTAAAGAGACAGGTTTTTTTTTACTACCAACATGGTCTCCCCTTTTCCAGAATCAGCAGTGTATGTCAGCGATCGTGAAAACTTTTCAATAAAAAGTAGTTCATGAAGAATGATGGTAAGTAATGCAAGAAGACTCTCCTTTATTGATTAAAAATTCGGATTAAAAAACTTCCTGCTTGGTGCAAAAATTAATTCTTCCAAAATTTACAATAAAAGCTAATTGTTTGAAACGGCAATTTATTTCATCTTGTCTCTTGATTTGATTGTTTCGCTGCAAGACTGCAACAAACCCTTTCCAGAGAAGGAACAGGCTTAGTAAATAATTTTAAAACCTGCAAAACTGCAAAATTTACTTTGTACCTAGAATTTAAGGGGCAGCCCTTGAGAAGTAGCCATTGTGACTGACCATGGACACACTGTTTAATTAGATATCACAGACACAATTTATACAGCAGAGTCAAATAAACCAATTAATTTCCAATTCACAAAAATGCCAAAATTTTAAAAAGGGGATTTTCGATTGGTCCTTCAAAACCAATTATTATTGGAAATAATCGTGTAAGATTAGAGATTGCCTTTGGATAGAGTGTCATTTGGGGGGAGGGGCATCAAAAACTGATTTTCCTTGAATCCTAAATACATCAACTCTGTGATTTGGAGCATAATTGGTTAAAATCATAGGTCTGCTGATGCTTTGAAAGCATTCTTATTTCATCTTAAATATAGCTAATGACATTAAAAATAACTTAAAAATAGTCTTTATAACAAAATAGGAAGAAATTCACAAATTATGAATCACTTAAAACAGAGTTAATTTAATTGATCAGAAGAGTTTGAATGATTTTCAAGATTTGTTCTCTTGGAGACTCTTGTTGGAAAGCAAATTGAACTTTATCAAGTTCTCCCATTTTGAAAATCCTGAGTTCCGTCCCCAGTTTGAAGCAGAACATACACTAATCTCTGCTTATTAAAGATGAAAACATGTTTTTGGCACAGCATAAGCACTGATATAGTTTGAAGAAATTTGATGAAAATTGAATCACTTTTCACAAAATTTGAAAGTTTTACATATTTTGAAGAATACTGAAGCAATTTGACAGGAATTTTGAAGGAAATTCATTGATTATGATACAAATTGAGTCAAAATTCAAGAAAATCGATAACATCTATTGAAGTTAAATCAAGTTTATCTGCTTTAAAAACATTCATTAACCTAGAAGACCTTTGAAAAGATTCAGTCCGTCAACCAGATCTACCATTTACGAAGAGAAAAATTGATGGAAATCTCCATTAATGTGAGAACCTATCATTGCTCAGCAATTTAACAACAACAAGTCTAAAAAAGGTTTGGAGAATGGATGGATATGCACTTTATAATGGAACTCATTGGTGAGCTGATAAGTTTGGACATTAAATAAATGACATGCCGAAAAAAAGAAAAAAAAGTGTTCAACTGATAAAGAACCGCAGAGGAGCTCTTTATACAAGGATACTTAATTTGCAAATAATCTCTCAGGATACTTGTAGGTATAGCATGAAAACTAGTTAGGAAACAACAGTCAATGATTAAAATTTTTTCCAAGTATGGTTGCTAGCACATTCTTTGACAATTGAGGGCCTTTTCACGGCGAGTAATAGCACAATCAAATGGGATGGACGGATAGAGGGTTGCTTTAATTTTCAAATTTTATATATTTATAACCTTAGGCTACACAAATGCTCAATACCCATTTTAATGATCACACTATCGGTTGAACCTTTCAATGGACTTGAATTCAATAAGACGACCTTTCAAAAAGTATGAAAGGAGCCTCAGACATTCCATTTAATTTTAAAAAGGATACTAAAATTAGACAATGCTAGGAGTGGCCACAGTTTGTCATTTTTAAGAATGGATTTGACAAGTTTCAGCGTGTGTGAAGAAGAAACGGGGATCACAAACAGATATACAAAATTTCTTTCCGATTAAAAAATCTGTTTTGAAAGAAAGAAATAAGAATCTACATGCGTAAATGAATCAGTTGTTCTCAAAAGGGAACATTCTTTGATGAGTCCTCATTGGCATGTCCTTTTATGCAAGCCAAGGTTCATGTAAAAATGGACTTGTTCCGTGTTGAAAACAACTGATTCAAATAGTTTTATACATCAGGAGCTCTACAGATGCCAAGGTATCTGCTGGCTTGTGGAAAGAAATTTATGTGTCTTTGAAAATCATCAATTTACAGGGGAAAATAACCAATTTCTACCGCAGGTATTAAAACAAACCTGAAAGTTTACTGTTTTCCCGTTTGTAGATACTTATGACTTGGTAAAATCTTTGTTCTATAAGTAATGAAAACTTATTTAGAAAAGATAGGCTGAACAATAGAAAAAAAAATTCTAGTCTTAAACATAAAATACATGGCAAATTCATGTTTCCCCCTCCATTCTTCCCTTTAAATCACGCTCGTTTTGGTTAAGAATCATTCTGCATTAAAATGAGCTCACTCATCAGTTAAAAATGTACCATGAACAATGTTACTTTTAAGATAAATTAAGATTATTCTCTGTAGATAATCCTGGGAAAATTTAAAACTAGAGATCTGTAAAAAAAAGAGGGCTTCAAATTTTCGAGCAAAAAGTGGGAGATCTCCGGAAGAAGGGCATACATACAGTCTAAATTTACAGTTTTGAAAAAAATTTATGGAAAATTTCTACGGCTGGAAATATAGGTAAAAAATATTTGCTTTTGAGTAACTATACTTTGTACTTCAAATGAAAACATTTTACTTATTAACAGCCATGTACAAACAAATGGAAAGCAATTATTAGAGCTTTGCAATGCGCCTTCTTCCAAAAGACTTCCTAGATTTGAATTGACTGGAGATTTAATACTCTCTTTCAAATTTAAGTCAAAACTTTCTGGTAAGTGACTAATTTAATTGAGCCCAAGTTAAATAAAGTAATCACAGTGCTTACATATTCAGTTCTATTTGCAGGATGTGTGTGAAACACTAACTAAGGCAGTCATGATGATAAAAAGGTTTTTGAAGCTCCACTTCAGCGCATAAACCGCATGTATTCCTTGACTTTGTTCTTGAACGCTTCCCTATCTTTTTGATACAGTTCAGCTGCTTCTATATTCAATGGGTCTTCAAAATTTAAGAGCTCCTGAAAATTGAGAAGAATTCAAGTCAGAAAAAGGGCAGACGAACAAAAGGCAAAGGGAAGTAAAAAGTTCAGGATTGCCACAGAATTTAAAAAATGAATTTCCCTGACACAGTTCAGGAAGATTCCCTGAAAATTGAAGATACACCAAATGGTTAAAATGACATTATTGGAGATATTTTCCAGGCTTTGTTGTTGGAGACGTCAAACCCATTCTAGAAAGCATATAAAGATACGATGTCAATTTTTCTCAAACATTTTTGTCATTTTCCCTGACATTTCCAGGTTTTCCTGGTATTCCCTGACTGAGAAAACCATGGACATTTATTCCTTAACAAAAGAAAAATTTCTCTTGAACACTAAAGATTTTCATAATTATAAAACTTCACTTACTGTAAATAGGAGGTTAAGTCCCCAGACAACATCTTTTAATTTTCTTGTGGGTGCCCAGCCCATTCCGTCAATTGAATTTTGCCTGAGGATACTAAGACAAATCGAGCCTTCTTCGCTAATATTAGGGTGCCATACTTTTGTCAAACACTTAACTGTTGGAGGCTGCAAACAAAAGAGACAAAATTTATACAACACTGAAAACAAAATAGGAAAGATGGAATGTAAAAGATAATTTTATGTGTTCGGATAAATACAAAATGTTACACCAAAAAATAGAACTAGAAAATTATCTGAACTTTGATTGAGGGTAATCGGCAAGAAAAACAGTTGTCATGATAAAAGCTGATGATAAAGCAAGGCTTTGAAACAATTAAGAAGCTTGGAGGGCAAGATGCGTAAGTACAATTTTTGAAAAAATTGAGATATTAAGTAATGACTCCAAGTAAAACTAGTCTTAGTGCATGTTCCAGAAACAATTCGCTCCCCGAATTTCAATTTTTAAGCATAAAAAAGTCAGTTTGAAATTCCTTTCTGCCATCAGGATCCGTATAATTTTGAAACTTCAAACACATATTTCTCGAAATACCTAGCAAAAACTGCACTTCTGCACCTTATCCTCCAAGCCCCTCAATTGGCCTAAAATTAAGTGAGTGAACTAAGAGTTGTAAAAATTCGACAACTGGATTTAACCTTATTGACAAAAAGATTCATTACGATTTCTTCATTCTTTATGTTGTTCCTCTTTGGATGGCTGTAACTTTGTTACTTGTTTTTTATTTTTTTATCTGTGCTCTCTCACCAAGTTGTCAGCTTATTTGAGAGACCACCTTTTACTATGTTATTGTTTCTGTTCTACCAAGCATAAGATTTTTTTTTTAAAAAATTCTATGGAAATGTAAAACTTATCACATATGCAGATAGATTCAGGCCTCAAATGTGTTCTTTGCAGCTACCTTTTTTAGATCCAAAAGAGGATACTAAAACCCCAATTTGGTACACAGTAATACTGATGACTTGGAGACATTTATTTTGCCAAGTTTTTCGATTTAGCAGAGAATATTAATTGAAGGACACTGAGAAATAGGCTTGGCAATCAAATATGATTTTGTTGATCTATTTTCAAAATTTATTTCAGTATTTTTTTTTTTTTTTTTTTTTTTTTTTTTTTTTTTTATTCAAATAGCCTGGAAGGCTAATCCCGTTCCGACCTCACATACCGTTCATTCACCATTCATATACACACTCTGTCAACTTCCCTCAACAATCTCCCATCACCCCAGTTATCGTTTTGATATACCCTCAGTTTAAACAAGTTCCTTTTAAATGCCTTCAGCCCCAATTCTTCCATCTTGTAACAATTAAATTTATTATATTCGCTTACCCCTTTATAGAAAACCATCTTATCCACATCACCCTTTTCATGATACGCCCAGACTTCACCTCCATATCTAGTCCCTTTTGAATTATCACCCCACATTAGCTTTTTTAATTCCTCATCTACGCCTCTATTGATCTGTGTTTAAATTTGTGGTTTTGATTGTATATTCTTACCTGAGTAAGAGGATACCTGATCGCTAATCATTCAACTTACCTCCATGTTGTATGCTTCTGAAATATACACATGAAAAATGAAATGGCCCCCTTGCCAGAAACCCTCGTCGGGGCTGATGGTTAGCTTGAATTCGTGCAGATGGTTAGGATTCTCAAACTTGACTCTACACGTTGACGGGAGCATCTGCTCCATTTCTTGCACCTCTTTGACCAAGAGTTTATCGCGTATTGAGATGCGGTTGGTACTGCGATCGATCGTGCCATCATTGGAATCAACCCCGGCATCTCTCCTTAAACGTCTAGTCAACGTGATCATATTTTCTGGAATAAGAAGAGAGATTTGATTAAGTCGAAGTAACAAAAGAATAGGACACTATGACATAGATGATATAGAATACGATACAAATCAGAATGGGTTCTTTTTTCGCCATGAGTAAGTATACGATAGAGCGAACTCATCGTATGTTGAGGCGAAAGTCAAGTATTGTAGGTATAGGTCACCACTCATCAGTGATGCCATCTGACTGCAGGTAATACCTATTGAGTGGTGCTAATTCGGAGGTAATCAGTGATTAACATTTGGGTAAACATACGATGAGTCCGCTCAGGCACTCTTTAGTTAGTGGTTGTCCGAACCACTATTCTAATGTTTGTCTCATCGTTAAGTGAGTCAAACTGTGTAACAAACATGAGGTTTATCCTCGATTTGCATCATGCGTAAGAGGAGACGATAAAACTCCATGGCTAAAGAAGCAGATTTTACCGATAAATTTTCAAACCTGCACTAATTTGCTCCCGTTTCAAGTATGAGCCTGATAAAATGGCTTTGTTCCCACTAACAGTGTTGCTTCGACGGTCACATTGAAGCACATTGACCAGAGAATTTGGAGGATTAATTCAAATGCTGATCTATTGCTTCATGGTTAATAGAGCTGGCAATTGCTCCTTGAAGTTTTGCTTTGATGCACAGCGTCTAAGCTTCGGTTGATAGCGGACTCGTCGAACAAATTTGTCACAACAAAGAGAGAAGTTAATGAACAATTGATAGTCGGTAAAAATGAAAACACATAATTTACCTGGAGAAGTGGTATAACTTAACTAATATTGGCCTTTGACTAGAACAGAGGAATGGAGAGCTGGAATAACACTTCACTGAGGACACATAGAATGACGATTTTTTCATGCCTCAGAGAACACACTGAAGGACTGTGCATTCGTATATTCTAAGCCTATTTCTACTTGTAAAAAAATGGAAAATCTAGAATTGAAGGCGTGATGATAATGAGAAAAGTCCAGGAAGGAAAAGAACGACGACACATTGACACAATAAAAATATAAATAAATTAAAATTTTATGCTATTTCGTAAAGCAGGAGTGCCCAAGGTGCTTGGGCGAAATTTCTTACGACAGCATTCATAAATTCAATTTTTAGACTCCATTCGCGAGGAAAATTACATATACTTACATTTTAGACATCAAAAGGAATAAAATGACTTGCTGTCATAAATAAGAATGTTAGTAAAACTTCAGAACAATTTTAGATTTTTATTTTTATTCACTGAAGTACAATGTTTGGAATTGCAAAATTGCCAACATGTTTTTTGTAAACAAAGAATTTGAAGGTTATGTTCTAGTGATTGGACAGGTGATTAAAGAAAAAGATTACTTATAATTATCAAGGAATTTCTATGTATCTAATCAATGATTCGTTGATTCCATAGATCATTTGAGAAGTTCGCGAATGCCACTTTAGTATTTCGATCTCTGTTTTTTGCTTTTTTCAGTATGTAACTGTGTTTCAAAGGAGCTTAGTGTCATTGTGCATGCCAACAAACATACCTGTATTTTGGTTCACCTGTTCGTTTAAAGAAAATTAGAGGGTTTCCCTATCAAGCGGTGCCCAGTTGTCTACAAAGTGTTTTCTTCTCTAAATCAATTAACTATGCCAGAAGAGTCAGGTGTCCTTGTCGTCAAAGCAAAACCAGAGCGCAAGAAATTCTCTGCTCCCGTCAAAATCGTCAGCAAAATACCTGCTGACATCCTCCAAAATGAAAAGCTTAACAACATGATTTCGCAGTTACCATCGAATTATAACTTTGAAGTGCACAAAACCATATGGAGAATCAAGCAACTCAAAGCCAAGAGAGTAGCTCTTCAAATGCCAGAAGGCTTACTCATGTTTGCCATCTCGATCTGTGACATTATCGAGACTTTCACCGAAGCTGACACTGTAATCTTAGGGGATGTAACGTATGGAGCCTGCTGTGTTGATGACTTCTCTGCTGAAGCATTAGGTGTTGAACTTCTAGTGCACTATGGACATAGTTGTTTAATTCCTATTGATCAAACGAAGGGAATGAAAATTCTATACATTTTTGTTGATATCAAAATAGATACCCTACATTTTATTGAAACCTTGAAAACAAATTTCTCTCCAGAAACTAAGTTTGGATTTGTAAGCACAATTCAGTTTCTAACAACGCTGCATAATGCTGCAAGTGAGTTGCGGCAAAGTGGTTACTCTGTTACGATCCCTCAGAGCAAACCTCTGTCACCGGGAGAAATCCTTGGTTGCACTGCTCCAATCATTGCAAATGTTGATGCGCTAATTTATCTAGGAGATGGAAGGTTTCATTTGGAAGCTGCTATGATTTCAAATCCCAAGCTCAAGGCTTACAGGTGAGTGAATTTTAATATTCAGGTTTAAGTATTGTTTTAGATGTACCTAAGTATCTCGAATGATATTTTAGTTAAAATTATCAAAACTTCTGGAAGTAAAAATAGCAAATTTTTCTCCTTATCCTGAAGCAAAATTTCGTCAACTGAATCAACAGGGTTTGTCTTGCCTGAAAAAGTACCTACTTGAATATACTTGAAAATTGTTGCGATTTCCCCCACTTTCACTTTCAATTGGTTTCAAAACGGTGATAGAAGAAAACATGAATCTAATGAGAAAAGGAGGGAAATCCTTTAAAGGATATGTGTACAATATTCCTCAGCAGAACTTATTTCTATGTTATCAATGAGTCGCATGACCAGAAGTATCAGATGTCCTTCCTTCAACTTGAAAAACAGAAAATTATCTTTTGAAAACCTGTTCATAACATGAATTTGGCGCTGCATTTGGGTAGGTAATTAATTTTTTATTTTTTCTGCAGGTATGATCCGTACGAGAAAAAATTTACTGAAGAGTTTTATGATCATACTGTGATGAGGGAAACCCGTCACGCAGCCATTACTAAATCCAAGGATGTGTCTCGATTTGGCCTCGTTCTGGGGACATTAGGACACCAAGGAAGTCCAAAAGTTATGGAAAATTTACTGGTAGGTATGCTGTTATTTTTCTCTGTAAAACCTTTCATTTTTATCGTCTAACTTTTTTCATCTAGCTTTGAGGTAGGAAAATACCTCTGGTTTTCTGTGAAGACAAAATAATACCTATAGTTTAATTCAGTACAATTTTTAAAAAAACTAACTTGCAAGTAAAATATTAATTTGCGGTCGTGTTTCGCCGGCTCACAAATTAATATTTTACGTGCAAGTGAGTTTTTTAAAAAATTTCCCGATCTTATATCTTGTGCGAGTCTCCAGAAGTTTCATTTTATAGTTTAATTGCTCAGCACTCTCTCATCAGAATAACATTGAAGCCTCTGCTCGCATGGAAACTAGCAGCTAATACCGATAGTCCCTTAGATAGACATTTTTCAATATTTTGACATCATAGAATCTCATTGAAAAGTACTTAGGTCAAAAAACACTTGTTTTCAACTCACAGAAATCTTTGGTTNGGGGGGGGGGGGCAGATGTCAGAAAATCAAACATTCATTCAAAAATTCAGAAAATATAGGCTCATGATTCTCATATAGCCTTGGAAGCTTTCTGGATCTTTAAGGGTGGAGAATTTTCTTTTTAATTGTTCTCCTAGAAAAACTTGAAAGCTCTCCCTCAGGATCCAACAAAAACTTAGAAGAAAATATATTTCTGCTCTCCAATGTTTACAGGGTTGCCAATCAGTAAAATCCGAAATTACCGGGAAATGTCAAGGAATTTTGAAAAGTCCGGGAAAATGACGGAAGTGTCAGAGAAAATTTTCTTCAATTTCAATTAGTTCTTTATTTTCTCGATACATTAATTACAAGAATAATTCACAACAACTGGACTCTGCCGTGAGCTGCTCTTGTGCGGCTAAAATTGCAAAGTCACCTTTATTTGATTCTTAGAATGGGTAATGGGTGTGACGTTTGGGAACACTAAGTTTGCCTAAAAACAATTTCCAATCATGTCTTTTTGACCATCTTGCATATGTGCAATTATTGCCAAGGAATTTCATCAAAATGTGGCAGGGAAATTCATTTTCTAAATTCTGTGGCACCCTCTTTCACTTGATTTAAGAAATCGGTAATTTTCAATGCGGAAAATTTTCTAATCTCTGAACTGTACTTACTATTTTTCCAGGAAAAACTGAGCAAACATGGAAAAGAGGTCGCGCTTATCCTACTTTCAGAGATATTCCCAAGCAAGCTGAAATTAATGGAGCAGTCTGTCGACGCATGGATACAAATAGGGTGTCCGCGCCTCTCAATCGACTGGGGATCAGCATTTTCTCGCCCACTACTTTCACCTTATGAAAGTGCTGTTGCTCTCGGTGAGAGTGAGTGGAGGTGTAGCCCCGAGAGCAATAATAGCTACCCAATGGATTTCTACGCCTCTTGTAGCCTCGGTGATTGGACACCAAATCACAAGGAAAAATCAAGCAAGGATGATTGTTGTGGTAGCTGCAACAAAACCCTGTAGTTTTCCTGAATGTTTACTAATCACTGCCTCAATTTTTGAAATTGTCATACCAGTGATTATCATTTGTCAAGTCTGATTCTAGGAATATAGCTGTGGCCTGGGGGCCGCAAATGTGCTCCTTTCAGGGTGGCTAGCAACCGAGAAAAACCAGGGAATGCAACTTGACCGGAAAAAATGAGGGAATTTTGTCAACAGTCAAGGAATTTTTTATTGAGCCGGGTTCAAGCTCGAAAAATTGGGTCAGCAACAGGCCAACTAATCGCGTTGTTGTGCCTACCGTATCCGTCAAACATGCCAAATGGGTGGCATTCTCGAGTGGTGTGAAATAGTCAGGGAATGATAAAATGAAATTATTCTAGCCACCCTGTAACTTTTGATGGCCAGTTTTTCGTGGGAGACAAGGAAAAAAACAGGTGGCCAATCTACCAGATCCTACCATTAACGATCATGAAAAATCATAAGGCAGGCTCCCTCCTTCTGTTCCCAGGGAATATAAAATTTATTGTGACAAAAATGAAAGTTTATCAAGAGAAGTCTTTGTTGCATTGATATATTCATTGTTTCATCTCTTAAGTTGCTTTCGTCAGCAGGGCTGCAATTTTGTTGCTGATTGGTAGTAGCCTGTCGAATGTGGCAGGAAGTTGGTGCTCCAAAACTTTGTGATCAGTTTTTTTTTTATCTAATTTTACAATAATGCTTACCTGATTTTTTACCATTTTACTGTACATGTATAGGTATTGATATTTGCAAAATGGGAGCTTAAAATGGTCATTTGAACAGGATTCAACAAAAACGCATCAAGTTTGAATCAAGAAAGAGGCTTGAACCTTCATTTTTTCATAAGACTCCATGTTAAAGACAATTCCAAATTTGTAGTTCCTGTAGTGGCTATATAATATTGTTAAATAAAAAATTGAAAAAAGTCAATGTTTAATGACTATTTTCACATTCAAAAAACTCTCTCTTAACTTTGAATGTTTTACAGGGGATATACGACTGATCCAATTCAAAACTATTCCTAACTCATTTTTTTTTTCCAAAATGCGACTTTGTGCTTTTTTTAAAAACTTAATCAAGTTTTTCACTGCCTCTCTTGCTCCTTTTTTATAACTATTTTTAAGACATGCTTAGTTCAGTAGATTATCGTTTTGTTTGAGCAGTGTTCAACATATTGGATCCTATTCCTAGTTTCTTTTAAAGTTTCTTCATAAATCGTCTTGTTTTTTTTTTCTCTCTTTACAAGTAACTGTAACTCTTTGCCATTGATGCAAATTATGACCAAAGAGAAAACAAAAGCCAGAATTTGAATTGCGGTCCGAGTGGCACCCCCTACTTTTAAGAGTTGTCTCTGATTGGCTGTTCCGCCTGGTGGCCACTTTCTGGAGCCCTTATAGAAAATATCACAGGGTTCATTTTCCATAATCAATATCTCGAAAACAAGGAAAAATTGATACTACGAAGATTTCAGAAATCAATACTCCAGATTTTTCTGAAGAGATTGATGGATAATAGGTACATGACACTTTTTCCTCAAACACACTGAACCGTTCAACTTGGAATTTTGTTTTTTCATGACACCAAGTGTCACACTTACCTACTTAAAGTTGAAAAAAAAAATTCCAAGTCGAACTATTAAGTGTGTTTGAGAAAAAAGTGTCCTGTATTACCCGTCAATCTCTTCAGAAAAATCGGGAGTATTAATTTCTGAAATCTCTGACACATGAATTTTTCTTTGTTTTTGAGATATTTTCGATGGAAAATGAACCCCATATTATTTTCCATAATGGCTCCAGAAAGTGGGCACCAGGTGGATCAACCAATCAGTGACAACTCCTAAAAGTTGGGGGTGCCACTTAGCAATTTAAATTAGAGCTTTTGTTTTCTCTTCGATCATTACTTAATCATGGAGATGTATAGAGATAAATATATAAGGCAGGGGCGGACTGGCCATGGGGGCGGGGAGGCGATCGCCCCCTAATAATTTTCAAGGATTAATTTCCGCGGGGGCCCCTTCGGGACCTCCGCGGCGAATTTGTTTCGAGTCATTGTTTTTTTCCATGTAGAGTTGTAATTTTCCTATCCTTTTCAGTCACAAAGGCCCAAAAATCCTCGGAAATTTGTTTCTAAGAGACATGAAAGGTCGTCGAAAGCTTATGTGATGAAGGGGCCCCCGAAGCATCCTGAGAATGGGTTATTTTGAAGTTCGAGTACCGTAGAATTTAACTCCAATAATGCTTAAAATTACGTTTAAAAAGTGTGAAATTTTCAGAATTTTCCGAGGGAGGGCCCCCTGACCTTCTTAGGGGGGCCCCCGAACGAACGGAGGGGCCCCCACATTTAGGTCGCCTCCTAACTTTTCGACTACCAGTCCGCCCCTGATATAAGGTATTAATCTCAGTATCATTATAACTGATTGTTGCTCTAAGAGCAAGCTAAAGGGGTGTAACCATTTAATTATGGACCTGAAAAACGTGGAGATGCAATAATATTTAGAGCACATCTTGAAATGCAGTCATGCATGCCCTTGCGGAAGCACCCCAGAAAAATCATATTTTACTTTCTTGGGGCCAATGTAAAAGCCTTCCACTAATCTACGCACAATTTTGTTAATTTTGGGCTTTTAAGCACAAAAAAAGTGTGAAAATTTTAGAAATTATCCAAACAGGATCAGATAGACGTAATTGGCAGGGCCGGATTAAAGGGGTGGCCACATGGGCCGCGGCCCATGGCGGCAAATCTAGGAGGCGGCAAATTTTGCAATTTTTTTAAATGTATGTATAAAAAAAAATCGGATTTAGAAAAAAAAATTACAAACGAGAAAAGGCTACAAAATCTCTCATTTCCTGAGAGTATAGTAATTTCTAATTTTGTCGTCTTTCAGTGATACAAGAGACAGCACCTTTAATTAGTCGAGTTAAGAGAGAAACCAACACACAATTTGGCCTAAAACGGCGCGACTTAGGGAGAAATGATGACGAGGACTTGAGATGAAAAGGAGAAGCCCTCGGCGCGGCAATCAGCATGGAACGCATATTAGCGCCTACAAGACTGCACAAATACTTCACGCATCGCATCAAATACAGTGCGGTTATTGTGGTCAGCGTGAAACGCTTAGCGCCTACAAGACTGCGTGGATACTTCACGCATTGCGCCAAACGCGGACGGCGCGGCGGCGGAAGTTAAAATCATTAAACTAAATTTTGCGTTTGTTCTTTCAAAATTTTTCGTTCATTTCTTCTGAATGGAAGACCTTGTCCATTAGAGATAGGTTTACGAAACTTGACTTTCGCGCAAAGTTCCGTGACCTTTTGCTAGTAGTGTTGACAGGGCTTTCCCAAAAAAAGTGTCCAACACGAGTAAACGCGTCTTATGCACCCCTCCCCCTCGGGCACGTTCAGCCAAACACAGGATTCAATTGAGCAAACCGAACGGAAGGCTGAAAGGAGTAAGTTCTAAAAATCCATTGACAGAAAACGGACGAAAATAGAATTTAGACAGGTGTTTTTGGCCCCCCAAAATTTTGTTTGCTCAAAGCTTCACTCTGTTGCCAAGTTGACTTGCGAGAACGTAGAGTTTCCATTTTATTTCGTTTTAGCGATATTCAAATTCTGCCGATAACAGCCACTGATGGTATCATCTTCTTGCTTGCATCCGAGGATTCTCATAATCTCATTATTTCCTCATGAATTATTCATGACGACGGGTGCAAGATCAAAATAATGGCCTAGTTTTTGCACCATACGGCAACAAGTTCGGACGGATGCAACTGCAGAAGGCAACGCTGCAGATTCCGGAATGGTGTTTTCTTCCGAACTTTTGAGTCTTTCACTTTTAGGGCGTCGTCCCAGTTTTATCGGATTTTATCGTCTTTTTAGATATTGTGTTGATTTTATTTACGAACCGTGTATTTTCCTCGAAGTTTGAATTAAATCATCGAATTCGTCGCGCTTTTTCTCGTGTTTTTAACGAAACGAAGAAAGATAGAGGTTATGAAGCTAGTCCTTGAGTAAAAATTTTGTTTTGTTTATCCTCAATAGAATGTGTTTCTTATCTTTTCATATATATTACTGTTCTCTATGAATCCACAAAACTATGTCAGACATCTTTTTTCTAAACTTTCCCCTTGGATGTCGACAGTTTCCCTCATCTCTGTCTTGCTAACCTCTTTTGAGCTTGGCGCATCATAGCATGATTACGATTGTCAACAAGTTAGTTTTTAAGTTAGTCGATCATGAGCTGGTTAAAAAGTAGCTCTTTTAGATCATCAATCACCAGGCACCGAGGCAGTCCACCCGCAAAAGAATTTGATCCGTCAGCATGTTACGACAGCTTCAAGAAACATTGGCAGCAAGCATTCGAAATAATCGAACGCACTCAAGTAAGTTCATGAAGCTTATCAATCCGGATTTTCTAACTGCCATTGAAATTGCCCTCTTAGGCACTATCTTCATTTCCTGATAAACATAATCTGTATTTATTGCCGTAATGCACACTCTGCATTCTGACTTATGATAGTAAGTTCAGGGTTTATTTTCCACGAGGATCAAATGATGTACACATGTGCTGTACTCATCTTATAAGATGTACTTATGTGTGATTTATCATCAATCCTTGTTAGAGCACCTGAAAATCAGCAAATGTACTTAATATTTTCACATACTGTCGAAGTAATGTTGGAATAGAGCTGAGCGTAATAACTTAACCTAATTTCTGTTTAGCTCAGTCGAACAAACCCGAATTACTGTTGTCAACATAGAGTCCGAAGTACTTATCAATTTTCTAATTTAAGTTCTCGTTAAACATGAACAATTGACTGACATCATTAAACTCAGACTGAAAGATGTGGGTTAGTATCTAGTATTGTACTCAGTGACACTGAAGCTTCTAAACTGTGAGATGTTAGCTTTCGCCTAAGTACAGTTGATCTATTAAATATCTATGTCTGTGATTCACTTTTGCTATCAGTCGTAATTCAACGTAACAGCCCCTCTTTCTTATTCGCAAAGATTTTTCTGTCAACTATATGAACAAAGTTTGTAGAGTAACCCCATGGTATGTATTTTTCAGCAGGAGAAATGTGTTACCAAACAAGATGATGTGTTGATTGTCGTGAATCATATTGACCAAATGATATCGCTGCTGTTGTTAGAGTTTCGGTCGGAATTCAAAGACAGCCCCTGCCTGGAGTATCTTTTAAGTGAAGATCTGTTGGAATGTATTTACGACTGGAGCCTTATTACTGGCAGGTATGTCTACGTTTTTGTTCTTTAAACTCGAAAGTTCAATGATGTTTTAGCATATAAAACCTTAAGACAATTATTTCAGCAAAGAATGATAGAGTTACATATCAACAGTGTAAGTCTGCAATTACATATCTCGTTTGCGAGGTCTGAAAATCTCTGCCTCTAAGTAAGTATGTTATTTTTTTAAACAATAACAAATTGACATCATCCCTTGAAGTTTTTGCAAAATTTTCTTTTGCAATTTTTTTCACAGTAAGTAATGGTAGATCCCAATTATTTCTACTTAATCCTGACAATTTATTCTGGTCTTAAATGTACTCTTTGAAAAGAGGAATTGATTTATCCACTATTAAAGCATAGCTCTCACACAAAATTAGGGATTTCAAAACCTAGTAACGTTCATCATGCTTTGAACACTAAGAGGAACATATTTTTCGATTTTCAGATTCAATAATTCCCTGAAGCTGGAGCAGTTCAAACTTTACGAGTCGTTAATGAGTCACTCGCGGAATGAGCTGCTGATTCATGAATCGTTTCTGAGGCCGCTGCTAAGGCTACTGTCATCCTGTGTTGATCAGTGTTTTTCTGTTGAGGCTGAAAAACGGCTTGTCGCTTTACTGAATCTACTTTGCGTCTCTTTCATGCAACAGTCAGAACTGATTGAGCTGTTCTTTCCGTCGCTTCAGGAACCAAGTCAAAACAGGTATTTTTAGTGTATTTTCTGAAGAAAATACACTATTTTTACTATTACTTCTAAAATCTAATAATGTTACATGCAGTGCGGCATGCTTTTCAAACTTGCTTACCTATCGCCAGGCTGATTGAAAACCAAAAATTGGATTTTGTCAATAATTTAAGAACAAAGAGGAAAAAGAAAAATATCCGGAACATTGGAGAATTTAGAGACTTAATCACGGTTTTCAGTCTCCTTTACTAGAATTCGATGGAAGATTTCTTTATCGTAATTCTCAGTGGTTTAGGAACTTTCGTATGATAATGTGATCATGATTGCATGGCCACTCACACGAGAAAATGGGAAGGCTCTGTAAAAATTGTGAAGGCAAGTTTGCATAAGTTTTGAAATCTCATGTTTCATTGAAAAACCCAGTGAAATTTACATGCATTTTGTAAAGTTGCGGTGCAGTTGACCAGTTTTTTTGTGCGAAATCAAAGCAATTTGTAAAGTAAAGACATGACAAGGGTCGTAGTTTTAAAAATATTGGGGGAAAATGGTTTTTAAATGGAAGGCCAGTTTGAAAAATGAGGAAGCTAAGAACTTCATTCACCTCTGGTACCTGATACTCTTTAGAGGGAATCATCCAACTTGAAACTTGACAGCAGTAATAAGTCTTGATTGAAACATCTGTTATCATCAGAATTTTTGGTGAAAATATTTATTTTCTAACCCATGAAGAAAACTTTCTTTATCTGTTCGGTTTTTGGTTATTTTGCTACAGTACTTTAAGTCCTCCTCGTCTCATGGCCATTCTGAACTAAAGAAATTATGTCATATACCCGCTCCACTTTGGTGTCTAGAACTGGGTTGTTGTAAGAGCTTTAAGTTAGATGTTTAAATTTGTGTACATTGTTACCATTGAAATATTGTTTTTTACCACAACTTGAATACATCTTTAGTATGGCTCACAGCTTCAATATTGGTCAGTTAAAATTACATCAAAATTCAGCCTAAAGACGTACAAATCAGCAAATTTTAATTGCAATTTTTCGACCTGTCATTTGTTGGTTTTCATTCGTTTGTCATTTAAAACTGGACGTTCCTTGCTCATTGGCAGGTTTGTGATTTTCTCACTGCTCATCCCGTTCATTCACCGCGAAGGACCAATCGGCCAGCAAGCTAGAGATGCTCTTCTCTTGTGTATGTCTCTCTCCAAGCACAACGACAGCGTTGAAAGTTTCATCACCAACGAATCTAATGTGTGTCCTGTAAGTCATTAGTCACTCTTGCACTTATCACAATCGGCAATTTCTCCCCCCTGATTGTCGATCCATAGATTGTATGCACGCCTACACGCTTTGAGGCCATATTTAAAGTGGTGGTTTGATTTCTCCAATTTTCTTCAGAAATCGGTTATCTTTTCACTCTTTTTACCTCTGCAGGTGCCTTATTTTTATACTTATCAGTTTAATGATCATACCGACAGGATTCATCAGAAAAAAACCAAACGTCGCAATCCATTCATGAAAGCACTAATCTTTCAAGGGTGATCAATAGTAGTTATGTTGTTCCAGAAATTAGCCACAGAAGCTCATTCTTTTCCCTCACATATCTGCCATCAATTTTATTTCATTATTTCTTCAAATGGCTTGCTTTGTAGGATCTTTAAAATCATATCTTGCTGCTCAGCTGTGGAATTTTTCGCACAACTTTTGGCTAATGGGTTTTATTGTGTTACTTTTCATCGCAAGAAATGGCAAAAGAAGCAATACATGTTGGTGATCTTACAATCATGGCCAAAATGGCGTCATGACTCGGCATTACTCAGAGTGTTCTTTCTTTTTCTTTTCATTTCAATTTTTTTGATAACTTTTCATTAATCCTCATTGGTATTTTTTTATCAGTGTCTTAATATGAATTGTGGCACATTTTTATCTTGATAAAGTACTCTGAGTTGTGTTTTGTGGGAAAAAAAATTCTTGCTGAAGTTGGCATCTTGCCGAAATGCATCCAGGAAAATACATAAACAGTTAATTTTTCATCATTTAAAATGCGTGTTCTGGTACGATTTTAAATGATGCGGTCTGCCAGGTATCAAATAAATTCATCAATTGTTCGTGTAATTTAAGAGAGGAAGATATTTTTTATTTAAACTTATCAGACATTCTGCCTAGGGCAAGCATGCAAGCCCAGGCTGCTAAAAAGAAAGGAAGGAATTTTGCTAATGGTTTTCTTTAATTAAAGCAAAAAATGAAGAAAAAAAAGAGGGAGGTGCTGATATTTTGTTACATTTTGCACACTATGTACTTATGAGTCGAAATTTTAATAGATCTTTTTATGATCCTCTAGGAGGAGGTGATCCTATTTTATATCAGCACTTGTTCTGGTTTTTTGGTCATCCAGAGGTTTATGTTCTTATCTTACCAGGATTTGGAATTGTTTCTCATCTAATCAGCAGTGAGGCTGGAAAATTAGAGGTATTTGGAAGGTTGGGTATAATTTATGCTATACCTTTTTACAGAATGAAAAAATTTTTCCATGAGTGAGGGAATTCCCATGCTGAAATTGAGCCTAATCTTTGCCCTAAAGAATTCTTTGCAACCCTGATCTTGTATATCTCATTTGCTACCAGCATCACTGTATTACAACTACTATTATTTTCTCAGGTATTGGCCACAGGTTTAAGCGGACTGTACTCACGTCTACCACGTAAACTTTCAATCGAAGCAGAAGATTGGCATCGATTCACGCCGGACGATGTGGCTGAAATCAAAGAACTGACAACATTCATCAACTCTCTTGAATTTTGCAATGTTGTAGTACAAATATCGCACCCAAAAGTTCAAAATGCTCTTCTAGAATTCCTATACCAAGGTTTTCTAGTTCCCGTTCTTGGGCCTGCCCTGCTCCAAGTAAGTATCATCACTCCAATCATCCTTAATGCATAATAATATGTTTAATTCTGTAACTTTTTCGGTGTAGCACTCTGACTGCACTGTGTTACCATGTGATGTGAACATTTAATTTGTGCGATATTTTATCTATGTATTATTATCAGAAATGGATTTGTGGGATCAGGTAAAAATTAGTAATCCAGAGAAAAGAGTCAGTAATGTCAGTGAAAAAAATAACACATTTTAAATTATTAATTAAACAAAAAAGATTTGCTTATGCTTACAGTAAAATGATCCTTGAAAACCCAACTTGATACAGCTTTAAAGCTGCATCGCTCAAAATATCTAATATCTAGTGCCAAAGTACGAGATGACAAAAAAAAAAGTGTAATTTACTCCGGAAAAAGTGACTCGACTTTCCAGACCAAATTTTCAGCTCAGCAAAAATCAGCGATCAGGATTAATTCATTTAAAGCTGCAAACCTATTTTTGTCCCTTAGAGGCTCAATACATTGTCAATGTAAAAAACCTTGGGGAAATAGTACAGAAATGTAATATAAAATGTCCTTACAAAGACATTTCACATTTACAATTCAAAAATCATTTTTTATTAAATTTTGAAGCGCAGCCTCTGATGTATTTTTGTTGTAGACAGCCACCATCAATTATTGACTTCCTACTAGTCTTTCCCTCACGAAAATACATTAATATTCTGTTCAAAGCCAATTAAAACCTTCCTGGACGCATGCATTCAAAACATTGTGGTTTTTTTTTCATATTGTGATGCCTTCAATCTTAAACATTCAATTCAATTCAATTTAAATTTTACCTTCTGATACTTATCCATTAGTAATACTCAGTTTATGCTGAAGCAAATGATTCTTATTTTTTCTGCCAGCAATTCTGCTGCGCTGTGGGAAAACAGTGTATGAACCTTCGGGTGTTGTCAAGTTTCCTTTGATAAAATACGACTTAATTGGGAAAGTTAGAAATATTTTTCAGACAAACTTGTTTACAATTTGACGTAAAATATCTGAAAATTTCAAGGATAAATATGTGTAACTTCCAAAATAAATTTTTTATCAGGGGAATTTGGCAACACTTAAATGTTTACACAGCGTTTTTCTTTAGCATGGCTGAATTAGTTAATCATCTTTTCCATCTTGACTTTGAGATCTGCCGCTTCTGCCTTACACAATCATCTTTTCCTTAAAAAAAGAAAACCCAAAAAATTCAATATTTAAGGTTGCTTATTGCTTTTTACTTGTTGCTCGCCCTTTTCATTTTCATTTCATTTTTGAAACACGGATCTTGAGTTTAAGTGTAGCTCTATGTTATTTACTTAATTTTATCCCAAGATATTGTAACGAGGACAAATCTTCAAAGAACAGGAAGATAAAAAATCCAATGTTTAACGGAAATATTAACAAGTCCACTTAACTTTGATTAGATAGGCTATAGTTCACATCATTTAGCAATACCGAATAATGAATTACCTCTTGAAGGACCTATATCTTACAATAAATGTCTAAACGCTCTGTTGTTTGCATTGTTTTGTATGTAAAGTTTGGGAGAGAAAATATGTAACAGTTTGCTTTATTTTCATCTTGCCGATTAACATTTCTCTAACCCCTATAAATAGCTCTTACAGCATGACCTCATGCTTGAGCCTCCAATGGACCACTAAACAAAGTGCGTATTTAAGCATTATGATAAATGTCCTCTCATCAAAATTTCATGGAAAACACGATATGTGCAGTAAGATTTATTGAAAACAACTCCTAACCACGATATCAATGTTTTTTATGCAGAAATGTGAACTTCCCACTCATGAAGAAAACCATGACCTTCTTGAGTTATATCCCACACTAAACATTAGGTATTGTAATAGGAACATTGCTCATTTAAGAAGCCTACCAAAACTGTTGCTGTATGCAAATTGATCAGTGTAGACGCTGGCTTTTCACGTGAGGGGAAATTTGAATTTTACTTACTGGTGCTAACTGAAATCATTTTCTTATTTATGAGCAGATTTTAGTAATTTTTGTCACGAAAATTGTGTTTTACATAAAATTTTGAAGAGATAACATATCCCCGAATGCTTAAATTCATACCTTGCCTTATGGTCCATTCTATACCATTGGTAATGATTTACGCATTTATTTGCACATAAGCACGTATTCAAAGTTTACTCTCTACTACATAGTCTTTGAATAACTTTAACTTTTTACTTGAGTATATTTCACAGCATTGAAAAAATTAGCCACTATGTCACTTCACAGTGTTCTAGCTTCCTAGCACAGTGCTTTTGCTCCTTTTTTTCCCCTTCAGGCGCTACATTAGGTCAGTTTTAATCGCTCATGCCTGTCTTGTTTAATCGGAAAAGGCAGTCAGACCTTTGTAACTTTGCTTTTCTGTGTCACCATTTCATCTGAAAAGGAGACAGCAATTAAGTTGGATTATTGTTATAGGACTGTGTTGGTTTGCCGGGATATAATTCACAACTACATGCGGTCAGTACTTCTCTCTCTTGGAGCATGGAGCGATTTTTGTTGCATGATTCGTTTTTGCTCATGAATTAATTTTTCTCGTACTTCGCATTTTGGATCTCCTGTTTTGTTTCTAATTCATAATGTAGGTTGACAATTTTAAGGAAAAAGGTTAACCCAACGAAGAGAGGACTGCTCTACCCTGAAATAAGGTTTGCAAGTGTCGTTTACGGAGGAAAGGACTGCAGACAAAATTTTAAGTCAAGTGATTAAATCGAGTTGGGTTCGAAAATTTGATTTTGAGATTCTGACGGAAAATTCTCCATGATTTTCTAATAAATAAGTTGAGAATGAGTCTCATTATCAATTTATTTATTTACTTTTTACAATTGCATAATAATCCAACAATTCGATGCTCTAAGAGCGGTAGATGAGAATTTCAAATAGTTTTTTCTCAAAATTACAAGTTTTGAATCACAGACATCAAATCTCTGCAACTTCGATTTTTTTTGACATAGGGTATTTTTGTCTTTATTTTTTCATGGAAGTCTTATCCATGCCCTGGTATCAATAACTAAATGTTGAATTTTACTTTACTGAGGCCCCTTTTCCCACTGATGGTCAGGGTCACATTATTCACAGATATTTTTCATTACCTAGATTTCTTTTTTCCGCTGAGAGTGGGAGTTTAAGAATGGGCCTGTCAATGAAGTGAGATTTAGCACTGACCAAAATAAAAGCTGAGAAGATATTGACTGCCTCTCGTAGCTCCCAGCTGCAACATACAAGGAAACAAATTAACATTATTTTGATGTATAATTTTTTTTTTTTTTTTTTTCTTACTCGGGTTATGTTAAATATGTTGGACTAACAAAAAGCAAGGATTTGTTTGGTTTCTTCAGTTATCTTAAAAATATTACCTTTGCTTATTTATGTATAAAATGCTTTTTCTACAGAAGAAAATGCTTTGAAAATTAGTCAAATTTTCCCCACCAACATTATGCATGTTACTATCCATTTATTAGGTTAATTTCTGGTGCAGATTTTGAAAATGATTTTAATGAATCCAGTTTTTTTTGTGTTTTTTTTTTGTTTTTGTTTTACAATGCTCCGATTTTTCTGAATGGACATCCATTTCCCCTTCTCTCTTTTAATCCTTCCTTAATTGTGTTATTTTGCGATTTGACAGCTTCCAATATCTCTTTAGATGCAGACAATAATTTTTTATTTTTAATTTTGCAGCAACCCAGTTATATTTTGTGTATTTTTGATTTGAAATATTTGAATGATGGTCAGAATAGCATGGTAAAATGCATTGTCATTAATCATTTTCTACCCGATTCTAAAATGAGTAATGGATCGTATTGTTATGAAGTCATCGGCCAACCAAAATCGTGAACTCTCTAACCATCAACATTTCTATCTACACTAATCTTAATTTTGGTTTCTTTACAGCCTCTAACAGAAACTGCTTTACGCTCCCCCTCCTTCTCCTCACTGTATACTTGACTACTTAACCAGTAGTGCAATTGATCATTGACGTATTACTCCATTCATGTCGATTCTTTACATTTTAATCTGATTACATGTATTGATTATTTTTTATTTGTTATTCCTTATAATTTCATTCTCCTTTCTTATGCAGGTAAACTACTGCTGAATACATATTAAATATACTAATTTCTCATACAAAACCCTCTGTTAAAATTTTCGTTTTTTTTTAATTTAGCTTTTCTTCTTTCTCCCTCTTTCTCTTTCCCTCTTCTTTCTATGCGTGCATTAGATCTAATATTCATTTGCAAATTTTTAAGAAACTGAATGCTGACGGAATGGCATGATCTATTTGAGTCTTCCTCTAATAGTTATTATAACTTGATCTCCCTTTTTTTCCTTACTTCTGTAATATTTGCACCCTAACTCATTTTCCTTTTGAAGGAGATGTGTGTTTTTGTTCGAAGTCAAAAACATATGAGTCGGTCAGTATGCAGTATACTTAATGTTTTACCCCTTAGTATTTTCAACTCCAGTATGTATAGAAGAAAAATTGGTTGTACTTGAGTGTATTTCAAATTTTTCCCCCTTTTGATTTCTACTTTAACTTCTCCTTTCTCTTCTCTTCCCTTTCTCTCATATCTAAGGATTAGCTTTCATTTCTTCGTATCAAAACTATCTAAAAATTGTTCCTTATTCTCTTAAATTATTATGAGAGAAGTATGAGATCTTACTAACACCTTAGTGTAATGAATGATAATATTCTTCCAATAGAAATTAAGTACAAAAGTCTATCCTTCTCTGACCTAACAAAATAACATGAAGTACCACACAAATAAATGAATTTGCCATAACTAGGCAATTCTGCACAAAAGGTCGTGCAGAAATGAAAGAAATGTTTGTACTTGAAGTTACTTTTATCCGTCGCTCAAGTCTAATATTCTTATTTTTTCATGTATTTTTAGCTTCAAAATTTAAATTTAAATGTTGTCTGAAGCTTTGCTGGTTTCACCTCTGTGTCATTTTTTATCTCTATTTTCAATGTCTGTTCTCTCCACAGAATATTGAAGAAGATCTGATTGTTGCAACTGCCTATTTTGATCTGATGCTCCGCAGCGTGACTCATCCTGGCCTCCTCCATTCTCTTGTTCGATTCACGCTCCAAGAAACATACGAAGGCCATCGCGTAATAGATGCACTTGTTACCAGAATTAATGCTGAATCTCGGGTATGTTATCCAGCTGTTGTTGCTTTTCACTTCAAACTGAGTAGCCAACAGTTATTATTTGCTCACGAAATCACCTATTCTTCCAATTTTCAAATGGTACATTACTTTCAATTAAGATAAAATTATAACCTATTAGACCTATTGGTGCAATTTTAAAGAATTTTATGAAAGGGTTTTTTCTAGAGTTAAATCTCATTGAGAGTTATTGTTAGGGTTTGTAATAACTAAGGGAATGAAACAAAGGTGTTAATTGTCGCCAACCTTATTCAAAGTGTACCTTGAACAAGTTTTGAAGGAATGGAAGAGATGCTTTTCAGGAACAGCTATTGGGTGTTGCAGAGCGCTGCGCTGTAAAATCGGCTGTTATGTATGTATAACCTTTGATGATAAGATACTTTCCACAAAATGCAGGAAGTTAAATCTGCCATGCTAAATCAGAACGCTGTATGAGCCTTCAGGCATTGCCAAAGGACCCCCCGCACACCTCTTATGGGAAGCTGCACCATGACCGAATGCTAATTTATTTATATCATTCGATTCTCCTCAAGATGCTGATCAAAAGTTATAATTGCGCCAACTTTCTACGGCGCACCGTTTTCGCAAAAAAACCGCCGAGAAGATTCAATTATTCGGCAACAATGAATGAAAACGAACAAAGCATTTGAGAACAGGCCTGATGTAAATAAGGAAAAAATGTAGCGTGTGTCCATCTTCTTATCTGTACCTGCCGACTCTGGGGCTATCTCCCTCCCGCTCTTGTCCGGTTGACGTTCCGATTTTCCCGTTCTTATGCTCCTCAAGAGTCTGATTTGGATGGTCAAGCAAAACGGCGTGCGGAATCCGAGATAAGACTGCCGCTGGGTGCGGGAGTTCCCATGATTTACTTGTTGACACACAGCCTCTTGTCAATCGAGTACTGAAATGAGGAATATTTTTGGCTTCTTATCGCCGAATAATTGAAACTTCTCGGCGGTTTTTTTGCGAAAACAGTGCATCGTAGAAAGTTGGCGCAATTATAACTTTTGATCAGCATCTTGAGGAGAATAGTATGACATAAATAAATTAGCATTCGGTCATGGTGCAGCTTCCCATTAGAGGTAAGCGGGGTACTTTCCCTTGATAACATACACATTTTTAGGGAAACTTGTCTCTTTCAATTTTTCAGAGGATTTTATTCCCAATTCAATCGAAATTATCTGAAAATTTCAAAGTTAGATACCCACTCATAAAATTTTTTCAAACATAAATATTTTATTACCAGAAATCTGGCAACCCTCAAATTTTCATACAGCATTTCCCTTAACATGGCAGGAATTTCTATGGGTAATCTTCCGAATCATAATCAACACAAGAAAACTTTGTATGAATTTTTTCACTTTTATGCCAAATTTTAGCAACGTTGTCATGAATTTAAGCTGCCTGGTTGAAAAGGGCCTCATGTATGTAACTGAGTTAATGAGATAATTGAATTCTGGTTTGGTTTATAACAGCTGTGTCTCGTGACTCTGGCCACCCTGGAATCTCTTGTTGACCTCAACTGTGAAGACATTATGTTAGATCTTGTTTTACGTCACCTTGTACCTTGCACTCACGTCATGCTTTCTCAGCGATCGAGAGTTCAGCACATCGATCCATACTGCCGTTCAGCCCAGAAGTTTCTCTCACTCTCTCCTGCCATTACTCGGTGAGTGCTTTCTCTTCTAGGTTTGTCTTTGCAAGATCACATTATGCGAGCTCTTTAGGGTGCGGCTTATCTGATGGCTTAAAAAAAAAGTTTGAAATTTTACGGTGCCTCATCGCCAATCAGTTCGAAATCATAAGAAAACATCCTAAAAAAATTTTTAGCCAAAAATTCGAAAATTTAGAGGTCGCACTAACGGTCGGAAGTATCGATATTTTTCTGTTTTAGAAGAAATTCTAGAAAAATCGGGTAAACGCCCGATGATTATTTAAACAAATAATCATCGTGTTCTTCAAGTAGATGCCAACAATGTGGGGTCATCAAGGACCTCGTTGTATCACTATACCACATAATAGAAGGGGTCGATAAGGGTTGAAAGAGGGGGGGGGGATAAACCTAAAGATTTGCTATTATATTGTCACTCCAGCGCAACGGCAGCGTCAAGACCTGTAATGGCGCACGGAGCTAGCAGCACCCAGAATACGGGTCAATCAACCAATGGCATAGCATCTCATTGAAAAAAAAGTATGTCACAACCCCCCCCCCCCCCCTCGCTGATCCTTCTCATCGATAAGTTGATGAATAATATGGGGTGAAATAAATCACACGGAAGTTGAGATACTCATTTATTACGATAATATAAAACGAGGTCCCTTGGATTTACAGGAACTTTTTAGCAGGAGTTGGAAATGCCTTTCTATGTTCCATGACAATTTTCAAAAAAAATTGTTTTTGCTCTTCGTTTTTAGTGATGGTATTATTGAAAGTTTGAATAAGTGAAACTGCTCTTTCGGCATTATCGTTCACAACTTTGAGATTTTTCACTACTTTGAGAGCTAGATGGAAATCATGTAGCTTTGGCCATTTAGTCGGACTTTGTTTTAAAAACGTATGTGGGATATTTAGAATTTTAAAGAAATTTAGACTGTTTTGTGTCACAAAAGATGATAAGTCCTTCTTTTTATACATTTTAGATCTTCAAAAGTGATCTCTGCCCTTTTAAGTCGTTTTACTTTGTTCCTATTGTTAGCATACCTAATGTTAAACACAGACTTCGCCATTGACGTTTTGACACTAACAGGCAATGTATTATCAAAAAATGCTAAGCTAACAAGCTCCTCTGACAAATACCAAAGGTGTCGACGGAATTTTAAGACAGTATTTTTACTGATGGTAGAATTTTACCATAAAATGCCAAAATTTACTCGAAACTGGAGGGAAAGTAGTGTTTATCATGTTCTGCACGTGAGTGATTTTGGCAACAGTGTAAATGGTCGAAAATAGTTCTGAAGGGATGAAAACAACTCTTGTACATTATTTTATTACAATTCATGAGATATATTAGCCTCCTCAGCTTCGGAGGGCCTGTTCTGAGGTCGATTAAAAACTGTCAAATGCTATCATTTTGCTGCGCGCAGTGCCTCCAAACTAACTGCGCCGTGACCCACCCTCCCCCCATCTCTGGGTCAAAAGTGGAATTTTCTCATTCAAAATAGGCCTCTGGACGACTTCTCAAGAGATGGTCAGGTTTGAAATCATTTTGGCGCATTTTACGACCGAAAAACGTAGTTCCGCGAATCGGCCTATTTTCTCCCCATTTAAACCAATGTAATTGCTAGTGTAATGCAATTGCTGCTAAACGCGCGTTAGTGCGACCTCTAAATATTCGAATTTTAAGCTGAAATTTTTTTTGGGACGTTTTTTAATGATTTCGACCCGATTGGTGATGAGGCACCGTAACATTTCAAAAGTCACAAAATAAGCCGCACCCTAGAGCTCTTTTTCAAAATCTCACAAAAAATAGTTCAACCTGCTGTTAAAATATTTCTGTCCTAAAATCTCTAATAAATATCATGATGTAGAATTACTAATTTCGAATCTCAGCTACTTTTGCAAAAAGTAGAGCACCTGTAATTTATCATAACTTTTTTCAGGAAAAATTGTATCTAACTTGACTTATTATTGTTTATCACCTATATTGTTTATTACCTAGATTTCTCATAGAGGCAAATGGAGGACTTGACCTGCAGCCTGATTGTTAAAATTTTGTGTTTGCTGGGTAGACATAGATGACATAGGTTAAAAGGGGGAGTGTGATTGGTGGGCTGCGTCTTATCGCTGCTTTGTCGTACCTATGTTGGGTGGAACTCATGACAAGCTAACAGCACCTCTTGAGTTTCCGACAGTATGTCGTCCATTCCACCTTACAAAGATACGATAAAGCAGCGATACTTAAGACATAGCTGACCAATCACTTCACCTTTTAACCTATGTCTTCTATGTCTATCCGACAAACACAACATTTCAACAATCAGGCTGCTAGAAAGTTGGAAATGCTGTCTATTGGTTCGTATTCTGCCCAATTCTACAATTTCTCAGATTATGAGGAGCTGGTAGAAATAATTTGAGGAATTTTTTTTTTTTCATTAAAGTTATTAAATTTGAAGTAAAAAATAAGCGCCTGCTTTCTGGTAATGCACTGACTACATGACAGAATGTAGAACATCACGAAATTAATTCCTCTTGTTTTGATTCTTGCAGATACTCAAGAGCAGAAGGAAGTCTGTATGGAGACTATCGTTCATACTTAAGCCATGCTAGAGATAGGATAACCTCTTGTACAAATGCCACCCAATCCTGGACGTATCCATACGACGGAGAAAGTCCACCGCAGATTGGTATGCTTTGCTTTCATTCTGTTTTCCCTGTTCAATCTCACAATATTTTGGATCGTAGAGAGCCAGTAAAAACTTTTGTAAGGCTTTTTTTTCTTTAACCTCTTGTTAGTACTATGCGGTTTTATTTTTTGAAAATGAATTTGTGAAGAAGTCTGAGTGTTCCTTACAGATTAAACTAGCCAATTTCAGAGTCATGTGCAATTATTTATAACTGCAGTTGTTTATTAAATCTCTGTATTTACATTCTTACTGTAGAAATTCCACTTTATTGAAGCTCAAAAAGAAGAAGAAAATAACAATAATTATCATCTGTTGTTTAACATAGCCACTCTTTATACTAAATAATTGAAGACTTTGAAGTTCACTTTACGCAACAGTGAAACAGATTAATTATTATGTATCTGGTTTAGGAAAAACATGGAGGACTTAAGATTTTATGGTAAAAAAGAGACTCTACAGCGAAGTAAGTTGTGGTGATATCCTAAACTCTCAGATTTTCAAAAATATTTAATTTCCATATGTTTTCATCTCTTTAATAATAACTCTATTCGGTACTTTTGCGGTAGATTTTACTTTATTTTATTTATTTTTTTTATTTTTGGTAGGTGATTAGATTTCTGCTGTAGAGCACTTGAAATTTACTCTCTTTGAAAAACTATATTACGCTCAATTTAATTTTCTTTCCATCCACAGCTGTTGTGCCAAAATCTGAAGAACTGAAATCAACCTTGGAGACTGATGCAGACCATATAAGTTTACCTTCAGCTGATGACGGCAGTAGTGGATATGAGAGCTTTAAAACTTTCAAAGATAATAACAGGCAAGTTCAGCTATATTCTAGGGAAAATTAAGGTTTCTCAAAGTTAACTAGTATGTACAAACTGAATGATAGATAAAAGTGCTTCTTATTTTAACACCTTCTCAAACTTCATTTGTTCCAAGTAGGTAGACTACCGACAGTCAGGTTATTTGGTCGACTGTTAGAGTACTACAAAAGATTTCGCTAGTGAAATTCCCAAACCGGGTATCTCGTTTGCGGTGTTTCAAAATCTTTGCTCCCTTGTTATTTTTTTAAAGGATAAAGACTCAACATGAGTCTTTGAAATTTTCATTAAATATTCATTGTATAGAGGAGAAAAAATCACCAAAAATTTCAAAAGTTGACATTGAGTAGTTTTAGGTACATTTAGAGAATGAAATATGATATTAAGTCAGCAAAGTTGCAAACTAAGATATGTGGCTCAGGAATTTCACCAGTGATTTGCAGTCTTCATTATTGCGCCAAAATCAAGTGAAATAATAGACCTTTAGACAAGCCATGAATTCAATTAGTAAGGAATGTATTTTCTTTTCAAAATTCAACGAAAATTCAAAATCACTAAAATGTTCCACACAACGGAAAGTCTGGGAATCAGCACCTTAACGGAAAGTCTGGGAAGCAGCTCCTTAACAAAATGTCCGTGTTCACAATATACACTGGTTAAATGACCAAAATACAAATGTCATCATTTGTACGATACAACTTCCATTTGATCTGTCTTTAAAATACTTGTTTATTTATTTATCTCGTTCAACATAAGATTTTGAAGAGAAAATATGTGACCTTAATTTCTCGTTCAGACCTTGTCTAATCTCCCATCAAGATTATAGATCTTTGGCTGCCCTCAAAAAGCCACTCACCTAACTAGGCCCTATTCAGCAGTCCCAGCATCCATTTTGATTGATTATTTGATTTTTCCTGTAGACTAAAATCTCAAGTTGCACTTCAGGAGCACCAAGATCCTCTCTAAAGGTCGAATATCACAAGTTTAATATGAACAGGGTGACAAAACAGAAAGAAAATTGTGGAATAAATTGATTTTTCTGCTCAGTATTTTGTGTGTATTTTTTTATATCTTGATTTTTTATTTTTTTACAGACTAGGAGAGCCTGAGGATACGGGAGGCGGAGGAGGTGATGATGCGGAAAGTCTTCCCTCTCCATGCGGAAGTGATTCTGTGATGGAAACGTGTCATACTAGTAATAATGTCAAACAAAGCAATAGCACAAATAGTAAAACATACTTGAATAATATTTTAAGTACAACTCCTAGCATAGGTGAGCACTTTATTGAACAGTTATACTTAATCTAGATTAGAGTTCCTTTTAAGTGCAAGCTCAAAGATTTATAATATGTTTCTGATACAAAATTTATGATGAAAATGATAATTTTCCCTCCTGCAGGGTGATTGTCTTCGCAAAGATAACTCTAATCAAAAGGCTAAAACCTATGTTGATCGATAAGCAGCCTCAAATTACATCAATCATTAGCATGTGCCTCACACCACTTTTTAGTTATGGATGTCAACATGGTATCAAAATTGAGTATTCAATTGTTTACTCCAAAAGCTGCTGCTGCTTGGGCATCAAAAACCGATCACGTGATTTGTTGATGCTTTCAGATTGGTTGATCACTTTTATCCATGCCGGCAATCTTGTACGGTTAACATCATCGATGATTGAGACAAAATTCACTATAACTTTGGGTTTTAAATCAGTAAACATTCTTTCAATAACTTATCGATGTAAAAACAATCGGGCTGGTGGGAAAATTTTTTTCTCGTTTCGGGTTTTCTCGTCCATCAGAACTTTAAGTTCGGAAGCCAATAGCTTCGAAAGAGGAAATTCAGAACATGAAGGTCAGTGTCGCAATCGACAGTAGACATCTCCTTTTTTTTCAATACTTGTTAGTGAAATTTGAATGAATAAAACTCCAAGAATTGTTGTCATTTTGATCTGAAGTTAGCACCAGAGATTTTTACCAGAAAATCCATGGATTATTTACCAGTGGATTCCTTTTGCTCGCTATTTTTCTCTGTGCAGTCCCTAAGAGAGTAAATTTTTTTTTGATTGGCAGGTTTGTTCTTGGATATCCTGTTTGCCAAATTAGAGTCGATGCTTTCTCATGACCTGTATGTAAATTTGCACCTGACTGGCCTTGTATCAAGACTTGCTGTATACCCTCAGCCCCTCATTCACTCCTTCCTTCTAGACCACTCATTAGTTTTTCAACCCAGTATACGTTCGCTCTTTCAGGTAATATAGTCTTCACTGTGAATTACTTTTATAGTTTTATAAGTAGGTATTTACAAGAACAGGCACAGTCTGGCACTTTCCTTACGAAGAATTGTAAACATCCTGCCTTTCGCTCCGAAATCGGTATGTTAATTTCATCGCATAAACGTTCAAGTTGAATTTTTCAACTGATCAAAACCCTCTAGCCACAGCTTACCCCCTTAATTTCCCCTATCCTTATGTATATTGAAAAATGTTGAGCTGAACAGCATCATATATTGATAATATTGTATTGTTATCTATTGAAAAGTATATTTTGTTATATTGCTCATTGTATTGTATTGTTATATATTGAAAGTATTGTATCGAGTGTGGACGTATCCTTCATTTTACAGGCAAAAGGAAGGGGGAAGTTGTAGCAACTGTATGAATTCCTTTTTTCGCTAGAATTCTCCTGAAATCTTCACTAAGTCTGCTCAGAAGCTGAAGAAATGTGCCTTTTTATAATTTATCATGAAAATTTTCAAATTATTAATTTTTATTTTCGTCACATTTTCTTTGTATTCTCTATCAAAATATTTATGGTTCTTGGGTATGTACCATCACTCTGTTTATTTTTTCTTTAAAGCCTTACTGACCAAGTTTGGATCTTTCATGAACCCGAACTATCAGTCGCATCTTTTATTCCCACAGCTACAGTTGATCAAGACTTCTTTTAACAACTTTAAAGAGAATAAATTTGAAAATGGCATTTTAGATATATGAAATAGGTTCTTTTAAAACACACCTGTTGATGTCAGTAATTGATTCGGTATTATATTTGATTAAAAACTGTATTTGCAGGTCATCGGGACGCTTAAACAAAGAATAGAGACAAAGTTGAGTCATGAAAGCAACCTTGAAAGTCTCACCCAGGAAGCTCAGCTGTTTCTGCTGCACGAAGAAGACCGAATAGTCAACGCCAGAAGAAACGCTCTCAATGAATCTCCAGCTAGTCTCCCACCAACAAAATACTCCAATGATTCATTTGATAGAGGTGAGAGAGACTACGCTACCAAATGTTCAGTTCTCATTCGAACGTTGTTGCAGAAATTTTCTCAACATTTATGTCTGCATTAGGCTTTCTCAAGATGTAGCAATAGCAGGGTGTCTACAAGTACGGAATTTCTGGAAAGTACGAAAAGAGTACTGATTTTTCAAGGGCGGTTCGGAAGCAAGGTACACTCTACTACAGATATGGACAAATGGAATTTTAGAAGTCGTCGAAACGCGTAGATTTGGCAGCGTCCAATGGTACGACTGCGACGCCATATTGAAAACTTATTTACATACTTTCTGTTTCAAGAGTGGGTCTCGTCAATTTTGTGTTATTTTTTCGTGTTCTTAGTTGAGGTTTTCGTTATTTTGAGTCCTATCAATTTTTTAAATTCATCTGATGGCTTATCAAAGCTAACGGACCTACCAGAACCTCATTTTGAACTGCACGGCAAAGACGATACGACTTATGACGTCACTCGATGGCTTATAATCTCAGCGCTGCCACTTTGGCACCCCGTTTGTCCATACCTGTAGTAGAGTGTACCTTGGTTCGGAAGCACTGAAAAAGTGCGGAAATTTCGCAAGAAGGTCCGAAATTGTTTTCATTTTTCTGTTATTTTTGTCCCAATTTGAGCAGGAAATTAAAATTTTTGAAATTTCTTCAGTTGTCGGTACTGTAAAAGTACTGATTTTTGGCCAGCCTGTTTTGGTAGACACCCTGAATAAAGAAAATAGAGAATCTGAAATCTGGATTGCTGCGCTATTTCCAAGATACAAGCTTCTCTAGTTTCACTGTGAATGAACCCAGAACAGCAAAATCTAGACAACCCAAAATATCAATAATGCACTTCAGAAGGAGCTCAGTCTAAACTTATTCTCAGCTAATAGGTGTTAGATAGAAATAGAAAAGAAGAAGGGGTTGGCAGACTGGCAGTTATCAGATCGACTCAGTATAACTCTGTGATATTGCTGAAATGATGAGAATCGCCTCACTTGAGTTCTTAGAATTTTGAATAGTTGGATCTACCAGTACTATGAATATCTTAGAGATAAAATCGATCTCGAGAAATATTGAAATTGGATTGATTTTATTTTGATTCACTTCTGGAAAGACCCACGCAAAAAATGTAGAAAAAGTGGAGTGTCGAAGAGTTTGCGCCTTATCTCAAGTATGAAATGGTGAAAAAATGCACCTGAAGTACCAACTCCAAATATTCTCAGTTCTTAGCCGTTAGGAACTTTACAAACCTAGAAAAGAGGGAAGTTTTGAAAAGTTTTAGGAATCTGGAAAGTGAAGGAATCTTTCATAAAAGTGTCGCCTTTCATGGAAATTTAGTCTTTTCACACTCTGAATGAGTAACAAACACCAAAATTGTCCTAGTAACAAAAATGTTAAGCTGCATACTTCTGCTTTGATTTTTTATTTTCAGATTTTTGTTTTACACCCTTGGGAAGGTTGAAATGATAGGGTGAAACTCCAAAAGACCAATTTATTATTAGAAAACCCAAGAAGCGTGTAGGACTTATGCTGTTTTTCTTTGATCAGATTTTATCCATCGAACAGATCACAATTTTTACACAGTACTTACATGTAGACATACAAATGTATGAAATGTTGTATGAATATGCACAAAAATCAATTTGAATTTATGGACCTCTGTCTTTTTATGAATATTTGACTGCCCCGAGAATCTTCTGGAGTTGTCAATGCATTTTATCTATTTTGCTTACAAGCAACCCTCTCGGTTTTTTACCTTTTAGATGTAAGAACCAAGTTCATATTATTATCAAAGTCAATTAAATGACCTGAGATACATTGGCTCTGTTTCTAGGTGATAACAAAAGGAGGAGTTTATCCACAGCGTTCAATGCAATGTTCCGACGATACTCAAATTCGTACAAAGATTCTCTCAAAGAATCAGAACTGGAACCCAGTGAAGCTGGATACTGGTGAGTGAAAAGTTTTGCACATTACAGGGACTTATATCGCAAGATTACTTTGGAATATTTTCAAAAATTAGATGAGCTTCCGTAGGGAGAAAGCTCTGTTTTCTTTCCTCTACCGCACAGTTATCATTCTCTGATTTGCTTTTTCTTCTGTTATCAACTGGCAATGAAATACTGATGTCCAAAGTGTGAAACCACGTATCTCCGTTTGCGACGTTGCAGACTTCCTATCTTACTTTTAGGGGATGGCAACCCTAAAATCGAAAATGAGATAGTATTAAAAATTGAAGCAGGAAGGTATAAGAAGCATAATGGCTCTGTCCCGATTGAAAAATTCGCAAAATCGGTACAGATATGAATGATTGTAAGTCTGACTGGTGACGTCATGCGCTCCTGGTGCGACTGCAATTCACAGGCACACAACTCGAAGTCTGGTGCGTTCACTGTCTTGCGCTGCGAAGTCGCCTTAATAGTCACACCAAAGCAAAGAAAAAAGAGTCGGCCAGGAACCAGCGAGATCGGTGCGAACTAATAACTTGTTGCGAAAACGAGTCAACCAGTTGACACCACTGACAGAATGCAGAGTACAGGCTGCAAAATGCGAGACGGAGCTCATGACGTCACGCGCTCAGCTGTTTTTTCGCGAGAGCGGCTCAACAAATGCAGATATTCTCAAACGGATTTCGGCATCATTCATTGGACACTTTTCCTCTTCGATCGAGCCAAACTTAAGTTTCTTATGGAACACTAGCCAACGTAATTTCTTGAAAACTTCCTTGAATATTCTTCTCTTTCAGCAGAATATTCTATGGGAGTTTCAAGCTTCAAAGTTGGCTTGTTTCTTTTTGGAAAAATAAAATAGGAGCAGAAAAAAAATTGCAGTGGACTTACAAGGTTTTGCACTTCGGCCAACGATATTTCTCTCTTATGAACACCAGTTTCATATGAATAATTTTGATTTACCCTCGCTCTATATTCCTTCAACTTAAATATTGGATAAAAATGTCTTTATTTTGCCCTCGTTCAATTAAAAAATTTCTTTATTTTACTTTAGTGGTTGAATGGTGAGGAGTTTCCACCCTGTACAACATTTAATTTGAATTGTGTTGGTGCATAGATTGCTTTATCTTATAGCTATTTTAAAATTCAAAATATTTGACTTATCCTCCCTTCTCTAATGCAAGGGCGTATCTCATTTTTCCTGTCAGCTCTCTGCTTCGTGCCTTCATGCCTCTCAGGGTTTAGGTTGAAATTAAGGTGCGCCTTCAAGTTAGAGGAGCAATATTATTTCAAGCTTCTTGAATAATTTTCATCCCTTGGCCTTGTCTACTCTCCGTGATGATGAACTTTAACGCTGATCAATTTTAATTTTTTTATCCTGTAATATCAACAAACAACTTGCAACAGGTTTTTTTGCAGGGCTAACAATCAGGAATCTAAGGGCAGGCCTCTTGGCTGTGAATGCTTGCTTCACCAAGCCTAAAACATGAAAGAACATCCTTTGAGGCATTTGCCTTGAATAATACAATCCAAAACATGTATGCCTATTTTTTTTTTGTGTGTGCTTTGTTAGACTTAAAAATAGCCTGATCCCATGTATTTTCTAGGTTCTTTAAAAGGAAAAATTGTGAAGTGAAGCGAGTGGTCATGTGTGGAGTTCTCTTGGATGAGTGGCTTAAAGAATTAGCAGCAATCACGCAAGAACATGCTGTGAGTATTTTTTATGTTTCAATGAAAACTTACCCCAGGTATTTTTGATTCATCAAGTTCCTGCTTTTTCATGGGTGAGCATTAGACAATTTTTTTGGGAAACGATAAATACTTGACAACCACTCTTCGGTTGCCTGATTTTATATTTTGTTTATTTCCTGAAGACCAATTTAACTCTGTATTGCTTGGGCCATCAAGAAAATCAGCAAAGAGAGAAGTAAAATCAGATTTTTCTCTTTCTCCTTCAGGATTGCAAATAAAAACTCACACTTCCTCATTAAATAAAATCACAACTGGGTATATTTTATGTATAATTTCTATCAGATCAATGATTATTTCGTTATCAAATTTTAAGCTGCAGGCTGGTAAACAGGCTGGCAGCTACCTACTTTACTGTGTGTGTGAATCACTAAATGGTTTTCACTAAGCAGAAGGAAACCAATGCAACTACAGTGTTGTCCAAACTGTGCTACTTCCTCTTTGCTTTAAAAAATACTGAATAACGACGGTAACACTCCTAAACCACAGATCTCGGTTTGCAACGTTTTAAAATTCCGTTTCTTCTTTGTTTTTAAATGGAAAGTTACCCAACAACAGTTTTTAAAAACTTCCTTAATTTTTCCTCTATGTGTGGAGAAAAATTTGTGAAAACTTCAAGGAATGATGTTGATTTGTTCCCCCTATGAAAAGTAACTCAAGAGCGGAGGTTCTTAAACATAGTAAACGAGATATGTGATTTGGGAGTATCACTGTCAATACACATAAAATAATAAAATTCACACAATCCTTATCCTTTAAAATTAACTATATTTTGGTAAAAAAAAATGAAAACTATCTACTTACCTGGGCTACATGTAGACAAAAATGCTGATGCATGATTTTTACAACACTTCACTTGCACTAATTCCTTATTCAATTGCAATCCAACTGGATTGTATATTTATGAATGATGTAAGAGCCTAAGGAAAGGACGGTTGTTTCGAGTATCAAAATCCTAGAAGTATTTTCTACCTCCGTTTATGAGACCTTAATTAAAATCGTTGTCGTCTCTCAGATGGAACCTGCTTTACTAATTGGAACTCTTTGATTCTGTTTCAGATCGCCAAAAGTTGACCTGTAGTCCGTCAATTTTCATTTCACGTTGCAATACTCTGTTTTGTTGTTTTAACATTGCTTTTCAAAAGCAAAAGATTTTATCTACGTTTTTTAGCTTGTTGTACCTTTCTTCCATCCAATCAGCGTAAATTCATCGTGCTCATGCTTTTTTAAACCATGTTTTAATCATACATTTATTTTTTAACATGAAATATTTATTCATTTATTCTGTTTTGAGAGTGAAAAAGTTTTAAAAATAATTTTATAGGAAGGCACTTAACTACTTTCGTTTTGTTACTACACTGTGCATTATGTTTTTAAAAAGACAAAAAAAAATTTATTTGTTGTTATTTTTTACTTTCATTTTAATAAATCAATCGCAAATAAACAGTTCTCGTGGTTTTTCCTTTACAATCTGTTCAATGAAATTTATCTATTACACCGATGATTTGAAGGTTCAAGAAGTCAATGATGACAGTTAAGGTGCTGTAATATAAACCTTAATAACAGTAGGTACTTGAAACTTAGTAAACACAATTTATTTTTGTACACAAACAAACTCATTATTCTTTCATGTATCTTCGACAAATGACCGCAGAAAAAAGACAGCCTGGAGAAAATTCAAATGAAGTAAAAGGGAGAGATAAGTTTCTAAACATTAGAAGAGGAGATTCCCAAGTAAAAGGGAGAGATAAGTCTCTAAACATTAGAAGCAGAGATTCCCAGTTTTTGAACCAGATTCTCTGATTTTTCCCTGAAATTTTTCATTACCTCATAAATCTCAGATTTTCCCGGTGTAAACAGCACAACTTAGTCTGAGGAAAACTTGATCCATTTTCGTCATGTTGAAATTCGATTAGCACCAAAATTTTGTAAGTTAAAATTGAGCCTAGAGTGCCCCCCGCCCCATGAATCTATGGGGGGTGCCACAGTAGATGTAGCAATAGAGGAGGGCTGGAAAATTTGGTCCGTTTTGCTCTACCAAACCGGACCAACGGTTTACGAGATATTTCCATTTTTCTGTTTCAAAACTCGATCCATTTTGATCATGATGAAATATTGACCAGCATTAAAATTTTAAAAATTAAAATTGAGCCTAGATTCCCCGATGCAATGGGTCTATGGAGACGGGGGTTGCAAAAGTAGTCTTAAGAGTGCAGAGGGACGTTAGAGGATGATATTCCCAATATCTTCAGTGGATTTCCTGATTTTTCCCTGAGATTTTTCATTCCTTGATAAATCCTGGATTTCCTTGGGCTAGACACCATGGAGTGACTACACAGATTGAACGCTAAAGAGTATTTTAGACTTTCTTAATGTCCTCATTTTAATTATCGTGCTAATTCACTTGGCCGCATGTCTCACATTAAATGTGTTTACATATCTTTGTATGTCTAACACCTGTTTAAAAAAAAAAGTTTTGCTTTTTTTTGCAAAAAAAAAAAAAAAAAAAAAAAAAAAAAAAAAGAAAAACAGTAACTAGGTATCTTCAAAATAGTAACATCACGAATTGAAAAAGAAAACTGTTTTAATTTCTTTTTTCTGCGAAAAAAAATATTAAACAGGGTATAACAGTACAGTTATGTCAATGTAACAAATGACTAAACTTTTGCTGGAGTTCTGTCTTAACCGGTGTCATTATTACAAAAGAGGAGACTAAATTTTCAGCGGGGGAAAAGGCTTATACAAAAAATAAGTACTGAGGTCAAGCATGAATATGTTCTTACATTAGTATCAAACTGTAGGGAAATCTTACAGTAATATCATAATAATAATAAAAAAACATTCACTTGTCTGAGGTCCATCAGAATTGAGAAAAGTTCAAGAGAAAATGCAATACATAAACAAAAGTGAGTGTTGACGCAATATTCTGAGGGAAATAAACACTTCTTCCTATGTCCATTAGGCAAATTAGTGAAGCTTGTGGTAAACAAGTTTTGAAAGGTTGGCCATTCGTACTGGGCAAAAATCGATTGTCACTATCAATACACCGGATCAACAAATCTCTTTTGATGAAGCAAAATTAGTGTCAGAGTATCATACATTGAGTTGTAGGAAAAAAACTCACAGAATTTTTCCAATTTTCTCTGACCAAAACGAGAAAAAGTCTGTTACTTTTTTTCACGACACATATAGCAACATGCATTAGAAACATAGGAGCGATTTCTGCTCCTAATTAAAACTTTACCTTTAAGATTAACAGAAGAAAGAAACAAAAAACAATACTTTCTCCATCCAAAAGAGGTAAAAGAGAGAACAAATCTCTTCAAAAGTGTACGGCTAATTGAGATTTTTGTTTTAATGGCCATGGAAACTTGTGAACAGGAGAGAAAGTAAACAATAGGAAAAATCCACTCTTTCTTACAGCATGCCATACAGTCCCTGAAGTTTTCAAAGCAATTTTTTACCTGAATCTGAACCCGAAAATCATCTTGTAAATTAAGGGTGGGCGGTTTCTTCAAGATTTGCAGCAATGAAAGATGTCACAAGACGTACCTTAGGTATTTTCATTTGAGATATAATACTGCAGGTAAATATCGAACGGATTTTAGCCGGATATCAGAAAATATTGAATGAAACTGAACTATTAAACTAATATTCATGGTTCATGTACAAGCGAGGTTGTCTTGAATCAAAGTAAAGTTCTTACCTTAGGTCTAATTTTCACTTGAAGCTTCAGATGTTTGCACAGTTATCTTTTTCATCACCCGTTTTACCATTGAACTTTGATCAAACTATGTGAAAAAGAAGCACCATTCAACATCAAGGTTCTCATATAATAGTGCTGATGAAACTACTTCCAACTGTTACTTCGGTCTTTGCTCCAAAAAATAATAGAACCTTTGCTAAAACCCTGTTAGAGTCTGCGTCAACTACACTTCTGCACTTGTGGACTGCAACAGGAGATCTACTATCTTATTCTTGCATTTGCTTCCCATGCAAAAACGATGTCAGAAGATCTTCTGTTGCAGTCTAAAAGTACGTAAACTTAGTTGGCATGGACTCTGGGAACACTTTTCTAAGAACACTTAAATGCTAATGCACAGATGGAGGTACATACCATCAAGAAGGCGACATACATTGTAAACGTTTTCATATCAATAGCTGTTGCACAAAGACAGATTGATGGCTTTTGAGATTAAAAATAGGAATATCTATGTGGACTTTTCTTGAAGCTCCCGTCTGTCACAGAATTAGAAAATCAAACAATATCTAGCCCGACTTGTATAAATTCTTCTGAAAAGCTGGTAAACAGATTGATTTAGTGGAAAAAATTGTCAGAATTTTCTCATCTCTGCTATGTTACAATTATTGATAAAATAACTATACGCAGAACAATACAGACTTCCTCAAGCGAGCACTAAATTAATTTCATGCTTTCTTGGCCCTCACGGCACGGATTTTAGTTGGATCATACTTGTATGTTTTGACCGGTGCTTCTCTTCCAGCGCGGGCAAATGCTATTGCATCAATTCTTTCCCTTTCCTTTAGTTCCTGGACGACTTTCATGTTAGACCAAGCTGGAAAAAAAGAAAAACGTCTGATTTCAAACGGAGAATGAAGCACAAAGTTTTATATTAGACTTGGAAAATTTCTGCAAAAGAGAAAACAAGATTTGAAAAATATATTAAATACAATTTTTTAAGGCAAGCTCATGCATGATTCATTCACAACAATAATTGAGCTTCAGCTATTTGGCCTCACAGACCCTACACCCTTGAGTACAGGAACACAGAGAGTTCCAAAACACTGTTTTCTACCATCCGACATGTTGCTTCAAGGTCGCATGTACAATTTTATATCATAATTCCTGACTTTAAAGTATAATGTGCAATTTGCTTCAATTTTTAAAAGTTTAAAGCCAAATGAAGGGGCTAGGTAGCCAGCTGGCTAGTTAAGAGGGAGGCCGCCGCATTTGGCCTGCGCAGTGGGGCGTGCAGAATTTCTCAACACCCCTGTAGCTTTATCAAAGTGATACAGATATTCCTGATAAGATAGTTGTGCTTTCTTTGAACCTTTCTTTCACAGTCGCTTAAACTTCGGTGCCACAACACAATAGTAGTAATAGTAACAATCAATACCACATTTCTCGGATTCACCTCGAGACATCGCTTACTAATCAAATTGATCTGGATAACACCAAACTCAGATAAACGCAAGTTTTGTGTGTGAATAAAGTAAAAATGAAAGTCTTAGACATGAGACCGCATTTATGCTCAATCAATTTAATTTAATTTACATCTTCAGATGTCACTAAACACTGCCCACAAAACTTGTAGGATTGAATTGACATGTTTACATTCGCTTGATTTTGATTAGACTTAGATTCGACAAACAAATTTAATCACACTCAGTGTGCCATGAACCTGTACTTTAAATTCAGGTGAGACTAGACTTGATGCACTTTTGATTCAGTGCTTAACTATATGTACTTGTGGGCAGCGGCTCTAATTGTGAACAAGAGTCTCAGCCCATACGTCTCTGTTACTTTCTGCACTAGATTAGATTTGGTGACAATATGATGCGTCTCTGTCAAATTGAGTTTGCGTCTGATCTACATCCAATCAAAACGAATCGACCCAACATAGATGCGACCCTGATTGTATTGATTGATAAAGTTGATGTATGCTTACAAGATTTCACTTCTTCGACGAAAGTTTTCTTTGAATCCAACTTCTTTGCAGCTGGCGCCACAGCCGGGATTCCTAATTTGTCTTTAAGGCCCGGAATTTTAAGAACTATAACCTGGACCAGGGAGAAGGTATTGGTTGTCGTCCAGTAGACGCAGACTGCTGTGGGAAAATGCAGGGTGAACGGGAAAAGAGCTACAGGTATAGCTCGGAGTATATACTTCATCCATGGTCCCATTCCAGCTTGCATTTTACCAAATTCCGCACCTAACTAGAAAAAAGAGGAATCACCAATTTCAGAATTTAATTAACAGAAACAGAAAGCTCTGATTTAGCATGATCTCATCCCAATAATAAGCATAAAATAGGAGAAGGTTTAGGAAAAAAATTGATGTACTTTTCTGGGTGGATAAAATTTTTGGGTAGAATTCAATTTAATCATGAGATCAACTTCATTGATTCACCAATTTCTTCGGGTAATTTGAAAATTCGATTTCGAAACAGTTCGATTTGTGCCCAAAATTTGGTACAGTTTGATAATTGGTGGCAAAAAAACCATTTTTTAGATTTTGGAGACTGAAAGAATGGAAAATCCTCAAACATACGTCATTGCTGTCAATGCTCTCAGAGTTTCGTTGAAAATTTGACGAAAATTATTTGATTCAAAATTTTCATAAGAACAATCGAAGATGTTGCATCTATGCTAACTTGGGCCTTAAGTGTCCCATAATAGTTGTTTTTCGGCGCCATAAAGCTTTTCCTTGGATCAACTACTTCACCGACTGCATAATTTATTGCGTCTCTTGAACATTTTATTATTCTAAGTTGGCGTGTTACCACTCTCACTGATTTGATTGGCGTCAACTATCAAAACATCGTTCTGAAATGTTACTGATCCATTAGGGAGCTAATCATTTAAAAAAGTGGAAATCGGATAATTTTTTCAATTGAAGGTTTGTCTCAGAAAAACTAAGTGCAAAAAATGGAATTTTTGTCTTCTTTCTACCGATGCTTGAGTTATTTTCCACATAACTTATGAATTGGAACTTGACTTACCTCTAGAGTCAAAAACAAAGTTGCGCTGGTTATTAGAGGGAGTAAGTAGTACTGATCAGCAACTGTGAGATCTGTAAACCAAAACAAGCCTCCCTCCCTCATACTTGGTACTGGAGCGTTGGCCATCCCGCGAAGTCCGAGGAAGAAACATAAAAAGATGGGTGCCTAAAAAAGATGAAAATAAAATAAAAATTAGACTGAAAAACCTTACGAAAGACCTGAATGATCATCGAGGAAATGAGCACAAAACTGGCTCTGAGACGATTGATTCTTCATGTCTAACTGCTGTTTTCGTGTTTTGTTAACCTAACAAATTTCTTCCATTCACTGATATGTACGCACTTGGTACTCAAGAGCTTACAAATAAAGCTGTGATTATGTCATTCATAAAAAAGAAAAGGAAATATACAGACAAGGGGAGGTGACATATCAGCCCGCCTAGATTTGGATGGGAGTGTGGCCAAAAAATTCTTCAAAAAAAATCATTGGACCTCTATTTCGCCGTTAGGAAGCCCCAGAAGACCCTTAATTGTTTACAAACATTTGGGAAACAATGTTGCTTGCTGAGGTGTATGTCGGTGTCAGTACTGAAATTAATGGAATTTGAGCACCGTTTAATCTGTATGGTTTCATGATACAACCTCGCCCTGACATTGGGAAAACGTTGCAGAGGAACTATAATTATGGTTTCAATTTTTATGGCTGCAAGCTGAATAAGGTAAATTTCATATGAAAATTACAAACATTATATCGTGAAATATATATATATCAAGCCGCTATCAGTCATGAATAATGACGCATCGTCTAAGTGTCGCAGCAATTAAAGCGTTCGTCCGGACCGCCAGAGTTGGCAGGGCGGTCAAGACATCTTTGCAGTTTGACGCGCCTTCAATCCGGCGAAGCTGCAACATGCTTACAGCCGTGGTCGAATAGTTGTATGTCACGCCTGCCGTAAGCGATCCCAAATATCGATGGTATCAAGCGAAAAGGAGCTTATTTACCTCGATTGCAACGTTGCAAATGACGGTTAATTTTTCAATTTGAGTCAATTTTTTTTAAAAGTGGCGCAGAGACTCTCTAAAAAAATTTACAATAATTTTAGGAACAATTTTAATTGAAATCACGGGAAATTTTGTCGAAATATTTAATTTAAACCTATTTCCCTTTGTTTCTTTTTACCTAAAAAAAAACCACTGTCCCTGATTCTAATTCGTAGCTATTAGGATAGTTATTTTTGCTTTTTTCGGCGAAACTTAAATTGCAGTGATGAATAATGAAGCATCGTCTAAGTGTCGCAGCCATTTACGCGTTCGTCCCACCCGCCAGAGTTGGCGGGGCGATCAAGACATCTTCGCAGTTTGACGATCCTTCAATCTGGCGAGGCTACAACATGCTTACAGCCTTGGTCAAATGATTGTATGAGTGATCCCAGAGAACCCCCTTTAACATTGCGATGACTTTTCTAAATTACGTTTTTTGATGGCCCGATCGAACTTCCCATCTTGGGTCAGCTATACTGGAAGGTATTTAAATTCTTCACATCCGTTGATGTACCGGCCATCCTCCAACTCTATACCTTGCTCATCACCACCAATAACTAATTTTTCAGTTTTGGAGGCACTAGTGTCTCCAAAGCAACTCTTTGATAACTGTCTCATTATCCCAGATAGAAGGGAAAGGGCCACAAAATAGCGAAAGCGCAGTAGTGCAAGTCCAAGAGCTTGAATGGGCCAGTCCATCTCTAATTTAGCTAAAATTAGAGAGGAGGTAAAAGCAAAAAAATTTAGAGAGATAGGGGAAAAAAAATTTTTTGACAAACGATATACCTGGATCATCGGTAGCAGCATTGATTTCAAAGGATTGATTCCATGTTCCTTCATATAGTTGTGAAGCTCCTGACTGACTCTTGCAACTTCCAACTGGTCACCTCTTTTGCGTGCCAATGTTAGTTCCTGGTTCAACTCTTGAGTCCTGGGCATGAATTTTGACATATTAGCAGCATTTATCTGAGTCTTGACATAAACGGGAAATAAGACGGTTCGAATGACGCACGTGCAGATGACGATGGTAAGCCACCAAGGTAAATCGCAGGAAGTATGGAGCCAGTCTAATGTTATTTGTACCCATCCTACTGGAGTCGTCGTTTTCCCTACTCCTAAATCCTGTAGAGTGGGGTTTACAGAATTTACTGCAACCTACAGGGAACAGACAAAAATTGAAAATAACAAATGTGAAAGAAAAGACATTAATTTACTGTGGAATGCTGCATTATGCATCGTTTCTTGAACGAAGGAACAAAACTCCATTTCAAGTTGAGTATCCAAAATGTATTTTATATAGAGATTCATGTTCATGAATAAAATCTTCAAGTATTGTAAACCAGTATTGCTCAATGTAAAGACATATCATAGACAATAATTTTAATACTACTGTACTTAGGACACCTAGCAGTCGAAAAACCATTCGTGCTTTTGCTTGTGGAGGAGAGGTATCAACAAAGGTCGTTTTTGGTCCGCCCTGAATTCCCTGATTCTGTGATTTCTTCCTCCTTGGAGACCTATAGTCATGGTTCTGTCATTTTCAGACTCTTTCCAGGCCTGGCAGTAGCCTAAACATAAATCTGAAGGCCTAGAGAACCTGAATGCCGCAAAGCCCACATTTTTCACTAAAATCGGGCTACAGAATTATGCTGAGGCCATTACTAGACTCAGAAAAACCCCGAAAAGGGCTTAGTTATGACTCATTTCAAAAATTGTACCTTCAAAGAACCAAAAAAAAGATGAGTTAAAGGATAATGCCTGGGCACGAAAATGACCCTTATCAATATACCTCATTAAAAGATCATGATAACTAATTATTATGATGTACAGACTCGTGAAGATAAGCTGAGAAAATGAAATAATTCTTAAATTTACAAAAGCTAACACTTACGGCTAAGGTATCTATTAAAGTGTCACTGGAGAGGGGTTGTGCAATGGAGGCAGCTGCTGAGCTATCTGCAGCTGGTGTGACAGTCGTTGCTTCTAGAACTGTTGATGATGTCCCTTCAGATGGTTTAACTGGTGAGGCTCCTGTGGATGCTGTGACTGGTTCTGTAGCTTTCTTTGCGCTTTCCTCCAAAATTTTTTCAGCAGCTTGTAATAATCCTGGTGATGTAGATAAAGTTCTCAAGACAATTGTGCACTGTTTGTTTAGGAGATTTGACTGCTGGATGCCTTGCCTGAGCAACTGACTGTGAAAACAGGAGTGGTTTTCGAACTGAAAAAAGAGAGGGTTAACATAGAAATCAAAGTTCTGAAGAAAATATTACTGCTATGGGGAAAGTCTAAAAGCACTTAATCCATCAGCAGCGTATAAAAATTTGTGGTTGGTGGAGCTCTTGGCTCTGCTTTCAGTTATAGGATGCTTGAAGGTAAACTCTGGTGGTCCTGATGCAAAGTTCAGCTGGAGCAAAAAGAGGAGTTATTTCATAAAGAAAATGGCTCAAAAATCACAATGAGTGCATCAGAAAAGTCTGAGAAAGACTCACTAACTACACTATCTGCGTTGGTAGTGTCGATCTTTAAACTTCTAAAACGATACTATAGCATAAGTGAAAATTTTGCAAGAGGAGTCATTCCATCCAGCCCTTGCGCAACAGGATGGTTGACAATACTCAACATGGCCGACACCAACCCACCAAAAAAAACATGAAGAGACTAGACTTCATCAACTACAGTGTTTATCATCACAATTCCCATGCACTGATACAGACTGATCGTCGTCCTTCCTCACAATTTGTGCGCAAAAGCATCAGTCATGCTGAATATTGAGTAACATCCTAGTGTTCGGGGGTTGGGTTGAACAACTTCTCTTACCAAATAATCACCTGTGCCGGAATATTGCATAGAAAACGCATATTTCTAGCGCAGATTGTGAAGTAAGGAGTGTATTTCAGACTTTCCTGATGTCCTCATTGAGATTTTTCAGCCATTTCCTTGGAGGAACAACTCTTTGGCGGCTCTGGCTGAGGTTTGAAACAGACCCATTCTTGGCGCACTGAGTCCTTGCCAAAGAGGTTTATGCACTTTAAGACTGCAATAGAAGATCCGCCATTTCATTCCTTGCATTTACCTTACTCGAAAAAAGACAATCTTCCATCACAGTCTAAAAGTGCGTGAAGTTATTTGCCGTGGACTCTACAAGTCTCGATAATGTTGTTCAAAGATTGACCCCAGACAAGCGCCAGTGTCATTGCAATCCTAATAAACCCCATGGCTCCAAAAATGCAGCCTTAAGAATGCCGACTGATGGACTGGAAAGAGCAGAATTTATGGATGTCTTATCGCAAGAGGAATGTTTGTCTAAGTTCCAAGAAAAATACAACATAACTGTGAGAGACCTCATTGGACTTACCCCTACTGTGTGATAGAGTAAACTTTTGCATTAAAATAGAAAAGGGAAAAAAACAATTTTAAGATTCTTATGCAATAGATAACTCCTTGAGAACATGGGTACTTCCACTCACCCGATAGCTACGTTTATGAAGTGGACTCGTCCTGAGAAGAACTCGATAATTCCGAAACATGACTAGTTTCAAGCGGCGAAATGCAAACGAAGAAAATGATCAAATGTTCATGACAGTCAGCACTAGATGATAGAATTTCCCGAAGAAACTACCATGCCGCTTACGTTACATTACATTACATGCATCGTGAGTTGAAAAACTAACCTCAAAAACGTGGTTCAATTCCAATTTCCCAAAAATAATTCCTTCCACTTTTCGCTGTTCCTGTTCGTTCCGTCGTCTAAACATCGGGAACAACGGAACATCGGACCAATTCGTAAACAAACATTGAAGAGGTGGCGAGCACGAGCAAGCAAAGAACGAGCAAATTTACTATTGGAAAAATTAGCTAATCCATATTCATTTTATTTTATTACCAAGTATTTGTGCCCTTTAGGAGCCAAGGATACCATGACGACCTCATTAAGTGCTAACCCATCGACTCTTTTACCTCTGGGTGAGTAAGCATCATGCACATTTGACGGTGAAACTATTCTAACGCTTTTGTGTCCACGACCATCTGAAGAGGAATCAAAATGTTTAACCAAAAATACAAAGCGAAAACTTTGTAAAATAAAACTTAAGTTAACGGAAGCTCAACTCACTCGATCAGAAATGAAAAGTTTCAATAGTGAGTTAGGACCTCTGGCTATCTCTTGTCATTTGTCGTTGATGACATTCTGAGAAACTCTGCTTTCCTCACTTTCTTGTTTATTAAAACCTAATTTAGGCATGATCACACGGCACGCTGAGCTGCTTGTCAAGCTGCCTGGTATGCAGCCTTACTGGCCGCTGCGGACTGTTCGACCAGCCTCTCCCAAAGTCCCCTCTATCCTCACCATGGAGCATGTTTGCTGAAGGGCGTGTGAAACTCCACAGGAAACTGCACGTCAGGCGGCCTGAGGAGCAGTGCTGCAAGCCATGTGAACGCACCTCAAGTGAGCGTTCAGCTGCACGATCTTGTATCTCAATAGAGGTGTCGTCAGATAAGTTGACATTTATTTACTTTTGATTTGCAGGCACTTTCGCACAACTACTATCCACGTAAAAACATTCATCTGGCAGAGGCGAGAAGCCAAGCTTGGATAGGATTTTTAATACTTTGAAACCTTGTAACACTATAATATTTAGCGACACAGAAATCACAACCACATAAAAGTCGCAGATCATAACTGATAAGTAGTTTTTTTATGATAAGATTATGAGACGGATGTCTTTTAGGTGGATTGTAGCGAACAGCGCTTTGTGCAGAGACGCAAAATTGTTGCCTGTGCCTGCAAATCGAAAGTAAACTAATGTCAACTTATCTGAAGACACCGCTATGAGTAACAGATTCTGTTTTAATCAATACAATGTGTATTACACTTTAATTGATCCATCCTTAGAATCTTTACTATTATAGGGTATATTTTCAATTGCTGCAATGTTTATTCATCATCTATGGATTCAGTCCACTCAGTCGGTCATCTTACAAGAGAGTTTTAAATGCTTCTCAATGAAAAACCCTCATGCCTACTTTCTAATTTCTTTTTGCAGAATTGGTTGATAAATGCATTGGTTCCAGAATACACATTGTGATGAAAAATGATAAAGAAATTGTCGGAACGCTCTTAGGTTTTGATGATTTTGTCAACATGTTGTTGGAAGATGTCACCGAGTACGAGGCTACACCAGAAGGAAGGAGGATAACTAAACTTGATCAAATTTTCCTTAATGGCAACAACATCACAATGGTAAGAAAAGTCAATTTTTTAAAAGTGCATGCCAATAAAAGTTGAATTTAGAATGCAGTCCAAAGGACTTGTTGGACCACTGAATTCATTGTTTCCAGGGGTGTTATTTCAGGTAATTGCATGGCCAGGAAAATAAATGACATGTTTTTTTTTATTGTTTTTTTTGGCTCAGCTTCTTACTTTAAAAACGGTAGACAAGCGGTTTTTCCAGTTTCGACTCAAAAGCGTAGCGCAGGGCCAGGAAAACGCCCCCGGTCTGCCTCTCCTCAAATGGCACCTGGTTTTTGCCATAGTGTACATAGAGTCGTAGTGTAAGTGAGAGAGCTGGCGCCACTTTTAAGCATTTTCCAAGTCCCCAATTCTGAGACTCCTGTGTGACGCCTGATCAATTTTTCGACACTTAATCGATTGTAATCGATACACGGGTACCCGGCCATCTGATGTAAAGAAGGAAGATAGGAATTACCATGTATTCCACATTGCCATTTTGGATCGAACATTAGGAAAAAGTAACCGCAGCTCGGCGCACACCGGACTCGGAACTCAGTGAGCAGAACATGGCGCCAGTTCTCCCATGTACATTACGACTCTATGCACTCTATGGTTTTTGCACTCAGTCTGTATACCAATCAGAACTCATTCCATCAAATTCCAACAGGATCCTAGAATTTGATAGAATGTGTTGTTGCAATTAGGAGATGCATAGAATAGGATAACCTAAATTCAAAGGTTATTTCAATGCAATACTATCCTCTAATTTTTGTCAATTAGATGGCTTGATTTCAGGATATCTACATGTCAGGAAAATCAAGAAATTTCATATAAAAAAGATTGGTGATCTGAAATATTTTGAAACTTGAAATCTGTTCGAACATTAGCACTGCCATCGTATAAAATATGGTAATAAAATGCTTTAAATAAAATTCAAAGATAAAATAAAATTTTAAGAAAGTATAATTTTTATTTTTCAACCGTAGCGGCAAGTTTTGTGTCTATTCAAAAATTCCATACCAGAATACAAAGGAACTTTTCCAATTTACACATGTGCAAAACTCTCTTGCAAGAAAAATAAAATAAATCTTGCCTCCAATTCAGTGCAATTTTGTTCATCATTTTGAAACATATTCAATCTCTTTTCTCTTTTTTCTTTCAGCTTGTTCCTGGCGGTGACATTCCTGAATAACTGTCAGCATCTCCAACATTTTCTAATGGTGGACACAGCATCCTCATGCAGTTACATGGCTTTTGTACAGTAAATAACTAGGAGATAAGTACTGTAAGATGAAAAACTGTAAATTAAGTTACCCAATTTTTTTATTTTTAAATAAAATTTTATGAACAAATTATACAGTTTCATTTCCTAACTAATTAAAAATCAAAAACCCTATAATCGCAGAAACATTATTTTCAAGCGATCAACTTTTAAACTTCAGAAACACATGGTATTAATTTATTATTCGAATTGTTGAAAAATTTCATTCAATTTTGAAAGTATATAGTTAATTGTCGGCCGTTTTGAAGGGTGAGCACACCAACAATTCTGATAGATGCTCGAGTACTCAAGATCGAACTGGGTTGTATTCCTTGGAGGAGGTCTTAAATCTTGAGACACCACCTGTAATGATAACAAGTACTTGCAGTTAATGGTTGAAGATAAATTGTTCTTACTAGTGTAGGTAATCACTATGTATGGCATGCAAAGTCATCAAACAATGGGGGGGGGGGGCTAAAATTATTGTCCTTGGCCTTAAAGCCATTCTCCCACCCTGTAAGTACCAACATGGTAGAATGGTGGTGGTTTCACACCATTCTGACAGGATCTCAAAGCCAGAACGAATAAAAAATTAGAATTACAGTTATAATGAACAAAATCAAACACAAGAAAAAAGGCAAGCTGGGCTGAACCAAGCACCAAAATGCCTGGGAAGATTCGAGTTGGTATCAACTCCCTTGTCAACCCGGAGACAAAAAAGTAAAAATAGAATGAAGAAAAATTATATAAAAGTATTGATCTCCTGTTGATGATAACAAGTAAGAGCTTAGGTTATTTAGTCAATTTTATTTTTTATTTTTTGTTGCTTGTTAACAAGGGGTTTGATACTACCGTGAAATATCTCATTGTCAGGCATATTTTAATATTTGTCTGGTAAGTAAACCACATTAGGTAGTGTAAAAAATTAAGGGCTACAGCACACGTTTTCCTAAAAAAAATTCACACCAGGCACATTGGACAAATCGATAACCTCCAAAGTGTAACACACAAGTGAGAAATAGTAGCATTTGTTGTTTGCATTTTAAACAGTTCAAACCAGTGGTGTGGCGCGTGCTTTACAATTTATTGATTGGTCTACCATTTAAATAAACGGAAAAGGATCGATAATCAGGGTGTTCGCAATAAACACCTTGATAATCGAATTTTTTCCGCAGCTTCAAATGGGGAAATATCGAAAATCGATCGTTCACGCGCTGCCGGGTTCCAACTTCCCTCTCGCGAAGAAACCGTGTCTTCTTCTGACACTCGCAGAGTTGCCAGCGGTCTGGAAAATCAGGAAATAAGCGACGTCCGGTAAAAGTCAGGGAATTCGTGGGAAAAGTCGGAAAATTTCTGACACATCTACTAATTACTATAACATATCACTGATCTTCCAACTGTTGACCGTTTCTGCCGTTTCTGGTCATTTTTGAGGCTTGCCATCTCAAAACCAGCTAGTACTAGATGCCCTTTTCCACAATTTGATCTCTAAACAAAGAAATTTTACCCAAAGATAAGCGAAAGTCAGTGGTTTTTTTTTAAAAAAAAACAGGGGGAAATTTTTTTCGAAGATTAGGGAAAGTCAGGTAATTAAAAAAACTATTGAGTCAGAGAAAAGTCGGGGAATTTGGAGATGAAGAAATTATGGCAGCCCTGCACTTGAGGTACCTATATGTAATCTCGCCCGAAACAAATAGTGCACTGAAAAATACTTCCATCATAAAAAACATTGAAATTAGTTTCGAGGTCAATTTAACTCAAGCAGACTGTTTTTTTTTTTTTCTTCTTTTTTTCTTTTTTTTACCAACGAGGAGCGTGAATCAATATATACAAGGACCTATTTTTTCATTCATGCTTCAAATTTGGAAAGTTTCAAGGCGTCCATCATAGTCTTTATTAGGAAAAATTCCGATAGTGAAGCATAATATCGACGGTGAAACTACCAAACCACGTATCTCGGTTTGCAACGTCGCAGATTTCCTGTCATACTTTATTTTTTAAATGAAAAACTACTTAACATCCAGTCTTGAAAATTTCTGTGATTTTTCCTCTTTGCGCGGAGAAAATTCTGTGAAAATTTCAAGGAATGATATTGATTTGGTCTACTTCCAAAAAATAAAATGTGAGCGTAGATTTTTAAACACCGCAAACGAGATACGTGGTTTGGTAGTTTCACCGTCGATATGTTGTGTTCGATTTCGTACCCTAGCTAGTGGTCCATCGTGAGAACCTAATGCGCGCCGCGCGATGATTGGCAATCTTTAGATTTTAAAATCGCCCGCAAACGGTGGGATAGGCAATATAACCCACTCAAGAGTTAAAATAATTATCTACCCAGCGCCTTCCACCGGGCATGGTGAAATGGTGAGTGATCCCGCAGTGCCAGGTAGAGGGGGAATTAGTAGGTGTAAGTGCCGGCGTTAAAATTGCCTGCAATATGGGCTAAATGACCAGTTCAGAAGTGAAAAAAAATTAACACTCTCAGATCTATCGATTCTATTCTGTGGCAAACGTTTGCTGGCACGGAAAGGGAAGTAACGCCTCTCTCTAGAAATGTCTCGAAAATCACCACTATTGCATATTCACACCTGAATTTACAACCTGCTTAAAGAAGTTGCGCCATTTGTAACCTTCCGCTTGCTTTGAACTTATCCAGTGACCCATTTTAAAGGTAAGAATATTCTGATCACGTAGGAAAGATGAAAAAAACGCGCAAATTACATAGTCCATAAATAGGAACTCGACAGAACACTTTATTGACATCATTTTTAAAGGAAGTTCAAATTTTAAAAATCAATGAAAAAGTAGGACGTTCTGATCCGTCACACAGTGAATTGAGTCAATGGGAGAGGTTGGACATTATTTGAAAACTTTAAAATTGTATATCTTCGTTAATATGAAATGTTGATGTTTCCTAAGTCGTTTCATCGGCTTTCTCGTAAGATTACCCGTAAAAAGCACCCCTTAAAATTAAAAATATAACGAGAGAAACGTAAAATCTTACGCTTTTTATCAAAAATTTCATGTCCGACTTCTTCCAAAGACTCGTTACAATGTGCGCCATAGGTTCATTTTCAGCTTCGAAAAAGTAATTAACAGTTGATCAGCAACCTTATTGCTGACAAGTTAGTGGTTGCGGGATAGCAACTAGGATCAGGCCGCCACTCAACTTTTTCTATTTGTTTAATTTTTCTCAGAATGAAAATAAACCAAGGATGGCTGAAAGGTACTGTTCTGTGACTATTTTTAAAATTTTAGCCGAGTTAACTCTTGTTTTTAGTTTTTCTTGAATAAAAGATACGTCTACTTAAGTGACTAGTAAATAAAGTCAAATCTGACTACAACTCAGCAGGCTGATTAATGCAATCTCGACCCGATCGCGTAACAGTGAGGAAGAACGCCAAATGTTCCGTTCGTCTGTTTTTCAAAACGCCTTCAAATGAGGATGATACTCCGCAATACACTAGAGCTCGAATAGTGGTATCGCGGAATTTTGCCTCTGCGATATGGATAACGCATTGTAACAAGTAGGTATCTCAAAACGCAACTGGATTGAGTTGACCGCCAAAGTATTTAGTTTTGGGGAAATGAGGGGTTTGTTATAGCTGATTAATGAAATCGATGGACAAAGCTATAGACAAAGAGGACAGTAGAAAATGAAGCAATCCCAGGATGGACCGCTAGACAAGGTACGAATTTCAGCATTCTGATACACGTTTCTTAACCAAAATTTCACGTAGAACACGATGCGTTCAACGAAAATGATCGAAATCAATACCTTACGAAGATATTTAATGATTCTTAATGCGTGAATTCAAACTACCCGCTCATGAAAACTCAATGCTCTAAGTGATTCACATCCAGCGCTAAACGTTATCATGACAGTCTCTGCGATATAAAAATCTTGCAACCTCGCTCTTGACGCTTCAGCTCAGCTATAGCAAATTGCTTATAGTTTGAACAACACATGGTGGGAAATGAATATTGCTCGAATGAGAAGCTTGCTGAAACCGTTGCAGTGCGCGATTTGACTCATGTAGAGCTTTGAGTTTCTTGTGAGCGGGCAGTTAAAATTCCTCGTAACCAATGTGAAATAAAAACGTTAATATCTTCGTTAGGAATTGGTTTCAGTAATTTTCGTTGTGCGAATCGTGTTTTACGTAAAATTCTGGATAAGAAACTTGTATCAGATTGCTTAAATTCGTACCTTGTCTAGTGGTCCATTGACAAAGGAGGTAAGTAATAGACTAGCTAACGTCAACAGGGCCGGATTTACCTACTTGCCGCCCATGGGCCGCTAGTATATCGCCGTCCCCTTCTCATTCGTTTTGAAACATCAATGAAAACCATCAAATGAACGTGCCAGCGGGGGAGGGGTGCATAGGACGCGTTTACTGGTGTTGAACTTATTTTTTTGGGAAAGCCCTGTCAACACTACTAGCAAAAGTTCACAGAACTTTGCACTAAAGTTAAGTTTCGTAAACCTATCTCTGTGTGTACAAGGCCTTCCATTCATAAGAAATGAACGAAAAAATTATGAAAGAACGAACAAAAATGTGGATTAGGTAATGATTTCAACTTCCGCCGCCGCGCCTCGCAGACCGCACTGTGTTTGACGCGTGAAGTATTCACGCAGTCTTGTAGACGCTGTCCGTTTCACGCTGTCCGCAATGACTGCACTGTGTTTGATACAATGCGTGAAGTATTCGCGCAGTCTTGTAGGCGCTAATATGTATTACATGCCGATCGCCGCGCCAAGGGCTTCTCCTTTTCATCTCAAGTCCTCGTCATTATTTCTGTCTAGGTAACTCGCGCCGTGCCAGGCCAAATTGCGTGTTTGGTTTCTCTCTTAACTCGACTAATTAAAGGTGCTGCCTCTTGTATCACTGCGAAAGACGACAAAAGTAGAAATTACTGTACTCTCAAAAAATGAGAGATTTTGTCGCCTTTTCTCGTCCATAATTTTCTTTCTAAATCCGAATTTTTTTATACTTACCTACATTTAAAAAATTGCAAAATTTGCCGCCCCCTATAGATTTGCCGCCATGGGCTGCGGCCCATGTGGCCACCATCTTAATCCGGCCCTGTGGGTTGACGTTACATCAACCCACGAGGTACCATATAATTAGTCCATTACTTCTTAGTCTATGACAACCACCCGTTAGAACCAATAGGATCGCCTCATTTTCACTATGTCCATTAATTCTAAAAACCGGCCCGCATCAAATGAGTCACCAGGCAGGACCTTATAACTTCACACGATATCGGAGACGGCCGCAGTCACGAGACACAAATCATCACATAGAACAATCTGTAAGTAGATCGATGTTAAAAGTGTGAAACCGCGTATCTTTGCTTGCCAC